GTCGGCCAACTGCCCATCAAGTTTATGATGAGTCTGTGTGCCTGCTAATCTATAGATGGCCCCATTTAATACATGACTGCCATGTTAATATATATGCACATTCATACATACACATCATATATGTATATACTATATGCATCTACATATGTTTTTGCATTTTTGCGTGATTTCACAATCGCCTCGAACGAATTGTTCAATTCATTTCAATTAAATTTTATTGAAATTGATGCACTCCGGCTGTCAATGAAATTAAAAAGAAAATCTCGTTAAAATGAAAATATTTTCCAAATTTACAGTTTTCTTTTAATTTTGCACATGGCAAATTCATGACAGCTAATCGCAATAAAAAAGTGAAATTTCTATGTTAAATTAGGTATTTATTGATTTTTTCATTTCCCCAACTGCTTTAACGACAGCTTGACGCACATTTTGACTTTCAGCGCTTGTTTATTTTCGTTTTTGTTCTTCTTTTGTTTAATTGTTTTGTGTATTTTTAGCGCGAGCAAATGGTGGGCGTGCCAAGTATGTGGTACTGACGCTGTTGGTGTTTGCTGCTAGTATGGGCGCATGTGACTAATGACATCATAGCGAAAATGCTGACAGCAATTGATTCATCGTAAGCAAGGAAAATTTTTTTAATTGAATGAAAAACTGTGTCGTGCGTTAGACAAACAATTGAGCAAAATATAATTGTTGCATTGAAAAGTGTCTTGAAATTGCACATTTTCAAGTTGTCTGTGCATTTCGTATTCAAAGACAAGCAGCGTAAATGACGCTTTTAACATTTTGTGAGGCAGATAGATGTACATACATTCATATGTATATACAAACACTCATATACATACAAACATAAACAAACACAGATAAAGCACACAAAAAATGTGGCATACCAGCTTTTTGTGCTTTATTGACTTTTTTAGTTTTACGTATTTTGATCTGATTTTTAATAGCTCAAGTTGTAATAGCTGTAGTTTTTTTTGAATTTACTTTGAAATCAATTATCTATTTACCTCAAATAAAGCTAAAACGTGCGCGCTTTTCACTCAAAAAGCATAATATTGCCTTAAAATATTCGTTTACTTGGGTTTATACCCTGAACAGGGTATCTTAAGCTTGCCACGAAGTTTGTAACACCCAGAAGCAAACGTCGCAGACACTATAAAATATTTATATATAAATGATCAGCGTGATGAGCTGCGTCGATGTAGCCATGCCCATCTGTTCTTCTGACCTTATGTCTGTATATAGGTAAACTAGTCTCTCAGTGTTTGAGAAATTGCTCTGTACTTTTGCAAACTAGACTTTTTGTCTCCAAAAAGTTGCTCATTTTTCGTAACCGCCGCCACTGCTGCTTATATGTATGTATGGTATGTAGTTCAATGCAAACTGATCGATCAAAATAAAGTCTTTGTATGAAAACTTTTTATTTCACAAAATTTTACACAAATTATTATTCAATGCAACACTGTAATCTCCGAAAAATTTGTTTAGATCGAGCCACTATAGCATATAGCTGAAATACAAACTCATCAATCAAAAAAAAATTTTGGTATGGAAACAGTTATATTTGTGCAGGGTATTATAGCTTCGGTACAGCCAAAATTAATCTTTTTTCTTGCTTAGCATTTAGTTGATTTTTATTTTCATTATTTCGCTTTGACTATTTTTAGTTCATTTGTTTAGTGACTTTGCTTGACTGTTCTGCTTTGTTATTTAAACATTGAATTGATTTCGAGCGATATCGCATTGAAAGTGAGGAGGGATATTTTTACTCGCTAGCGACCATTATCACCATCGCAGCATATTCAGCCTTCGTCCTCGTATGACACGCGAGTCGTTTTTATTATTGTTACATAAACAAGTGAAACGAATAATTATGTTATAACTTTAATAAAATATGAAAAAAGCAAAACGCTAAAGACTTCAATATTTATAGTAGAGTATTTATAGCATGTGAATTTCCACATGAGACAAATATACATATATGATTTAATTTGTATAAACGTTTGCATTAGAGAAAAGCTTAATTGTGCTATTTTTATCAGCTAAAGATTGTATATATAAAAATGTTTCCATACTATTAATTATATTATCCAACACTCAAAAATAGACCTAAGACAAGCCATTGAAATGTAGGTATTAGTTTCAATGCAAGAAATGTGTGTCGGAACATCGATCTTATCACTTTCTATGAAATTCCCCGGCTAGTGAATATATTGGTTATATTTGCTGATAAACAGCTAGGTGTCCCACACAGCAAATGTAAACGCTATATCAACTCAAATACTCACAGAAATACATACATAAATATGTATTAATATATGAAAATACAAAAATGACATTGCTGCTTTCGCTAATTTTAATCGTGTCGATAAGTAATAAATCTTCAATAATAAATTATAATATTCGCTTTTATGGTTGACAGAATGTGTGAGGCGTTTATTATTGTAAGCAAAATGATAAGCGGACAAAATGAAAGCACAGATATTCTTTGGCACGATTAATATAATATTAAGTTTTTACTGGCGAATATGTGGAACAAAGAAATCTACGTAAATATATTCACATTTCATTTGATACGAACATATGTAAATAAATATGTATACATATATGTGCAGATGTATTCGTATGTGACCGTTTTTATTTATTGTAAGAACAATTTAATTATTGATTATATTTTTTGCAAGGCAGTAACACAAACAATTCGCTTCAATTTGTCAGTTGAGCAATCATTATCAATTCACTATATGTACTATTTTTTTGTTAAAGTTAGGTTAGGGAATACTCAATTAGATGGCATGTCATCTATAGCTTGTTTGCTTTTTTACTCACACAAATTTTCACTACACACTAAATTCGTTAAAATTTATATTTTTAGATGTATTTTAGTATATAATCTATGTACATACTATGTATGTAAGCACTTGTATTATATTTTACTTGCACTTTAAATAGTTTTCACAAAAATTACAGTCGCATTTATAAAATTCAATTTCAGCAACGCGTTTAAATGCTGTAACAGTGAACAAGCAATAACAATAATTTGTTTGCGGAAGCTAGCCGGTATACGATATTAACGGTCGGCATTCGCCGGTTATGTTTGTAAGAGCGTATGTACATACAAGTGTATATGTATGTGCAATCACAAATTAACTTCCTATGCTTTGAACCGAACGACAATTCAAGCTACTCTAGCGATATCCTCTAATAGCACGAGGAAATTTATGTAACTACGTACAGCAATGTTAAAGAGATGTCAACGAATTTTGCAGACAACGGTCGGCATAGTGACAGCGACAGCAACTTGTGTAAAGTAAAGACTTTTTGTAGAAGCTGGCAAAAAATGCTGGCACTATCGTTGCGGTATGCCTTATTTTTCTATTATTTATATATTTCTTTGTTGGTTTTGTTTTTGTTTTTTAAATGTCATATGCATTTGTTCAGATGGTGATAATTAACCGACCGCCCCTTGAGCGGCATAAAAGCCACGCAGCGCGCCGCTATTCAACGCTAATTAAATAGCGTATAGCAAGTAAATTTTAATTTTTTTTTTTGTTGAGGCAACTGTTATTTACTTATTACAGATTTTGTGAATATACATTTTTATATAATGCAGAATTAACGCGTATAATCTTTAATCACAGGTAATGTGCACAAAACTATATATATAAATGTATATACAACGGTACTAAATGTAATGATTTTCCACCGTACAACTGACAACCGTTGTAGCAGCAATTGCTCACTGGTCGGCTTATTGAAGCGAGTGGCGGCCACAAGCAGGTCAGGCAAACATACTCTGTACATATATATACATATGTATACACACAAACACATACACCCTCGTTGTTCAATGCGCAGCCTCAGCCCAAGCTTCAGCCTTTTTTCTTCTTATCGCCATTAGTGTATTGGCATCTTCGCTAAACTTTTCTTTTCATTTTATTTTATTTGTAATAATCACCTCATTCACTGCATCACAGTCGTAGTTGAGCATTTGTTTTCATTTACTTTCATTTAGCAAATATATTTTTTACTTTTTTATTTTCACACAACGCGTTCGTTAGCAAATTTTTAAAAGCTATAGGATTTTTTCTGTTGTAAGGCTATTGCACACACACACACACACACTACGGAATAAATATTTATATGAATATGACAGCAAAAGTGCTTTTCTGCTTGCAGTCAACGAAATGTCAAAGGAAAATTGTTCATTCACTGTTTTGTTTGTAGTTTTGCGGTTATTGTGAATGATATTTTCTTTACTGTTTGACGTACTTCCTGTTATCCGTTTTATATTCGACTAGAGAATAAGCAAAGAACAGAGAACGTATATCATTTATCATATATACGTTCTCTGGAATAAAGCAGAAGTATAAAAAAATGCTCTCTGTTGACGGGAGGTTGGAATATATAATAGAATAGAAGGACAGTGAAATTCATACTAACAGTTCACAATTAAAATAAGCATCAAAACGCGCGCTTCCGCAAGTTTAGAAACAATTAAAGATTTGTATGTTTTTAAGACCACTTTAATAAATTCCTATTTCCGTTTTAATCCCACTATAGTTTAAAACTGGATAATCATACGATGCTTTTATTCAGCGCGTTAATTTTCGAAAAAAGGAGTTAGAGATGTGAATTTGTATTCGGGATTATCGTTAGGTAAGTCATATATTATTCCCTACTTCCTCATTCTTATCTATAATCTATTAGTTACCGGTATTAACATTCTAACAAAAGTTGTATTGAGGCGTTATTATAGTATAGTGTTGTTATGACAGTAACGTGAAACTTTTCTCGAAAAGTTATTTATAAAACATGCGGTGAAGTGATCCGTTGGCCGGATGTAAGTCTGTGCCCGATTGCATAAATTTGACTGCCGTGAAAGCAATAATGGAATGTTCGGCCACACGGTCACATCTACAGCCTTTTCTATAAATAAGTTTGGGAAAAATGTTCAACGTGTCTAGATTCAATGTTTCTAATCATATATTCGAAAATTTTAGGTAAATTTGAAATGTGAAATAATTTATTTACAAACTACAGCAATATAGAACAGTAACCCAAATTTTCTTCAGTGATTTAAAATAAATATTCCTATTTTATTTGTACAAAAAAACTATTACTAGTTCAAACACACAAGGTAGTGAGACCAAACTTAATTAAAATTTCACTTTATACAGCGCAAAAACACTATTTTTTTAAATTTGGAAGCTTAGTGATATATGTCATAGATATATCATTGATATATATATAGTAATATATAGTAGAAATATATATATATAATATAAAATCTATAATATTTCATCTAAATTCTATGATATCAACTTTTTCTTGTCATCTGCAAGATCTCCTTCATCTTTCTTTGCAACTGCAGCTTTCTTGTCATTCCCCTTCCCATAGAACATATCAAAGAACAACGCTGCAAATACCAGCAATGCTCCGAACCATTGTCTCGGTATTAACACATTACCAAAGAGCAATACAGAACTTAACACAGTGAAAAATTTACGCGTTGTCGTCACTACAGAGCAGGCTAGTGGTCCAAATTTCGCAACCATAAGAAAGATAAATAATTGACCTAAAGCACCGCATAATGCGAGCATTGCTAAATGGCTCCAAAGTTCAGGATGCCGTGTAGCGAACTGGACAAACTCTTTAGCTTCACCTGAATAATAAATAGTATTTTATTATTAAGTGTTCTTAGCTGGAGCTCTAAGCGCACTTACCTGTCAAAATTGTGGCAAAGCTTAACATAATTGTGCTCCAAAAGTTCATAGCAAACATCATTTGCTGTCCAGATGGCGCGCTCGAAGCACGCATTCTCTCTTGCACTGCGCCGGTTAGTCCATCCATAGCCAAACTCAGAAAGAGCAGAAGTTCTCCCAATCCTGTTGTCTCTTTTGGTAAATGTGCTATTTGGCTTTCTTTGTACATAAATAGCACTACACCAACAACTATAGTTGTAACACAAGCATAACGTACCCAGGAATACGACTTGCGACCAATTAAAACCCCTAATATCATTACTGGGATCGGTTTGGCTGATTTTCCTACCACTTGTGTTGGGTATGGTACCCAACGTAGCGCCATGTTGGACGATATCATAGCTAAAAGGTAAGTGAGCGCACTGATAGCATAGTATCCAGAATGTGTTTGATCCTCTTTCTTTGATTTTTTGGCCCATAACATACCTATGTGAAAAATCAATTAAATAGCAACGACTGTTATGTACCTTATTTATAGCGTTTTTCTTACCTTTCGCAAAAATGAAATTACAAAAACATTGCACCCACACTAAGGCCAGAACATATGTGAACCGCTCACCTACTTTGCCATCTTCATTAGGTTCATTACCATAACGCCCCCGTGTGATTTTCTCCTGCACAATTCCAAATAGAAAGTAGCAAAGGAAAATACTCAATGAGTACACAAGAAATCTACTCTTTTCTGGTATTTTCATTGCTTTTTTGTTCTGCTCGAATGCTGAATTTAGTAAAATATCATATACTTTAACTGCGCGAAATAAGTAAAAAAAACTTTACTACGAATTTTTAGGGAGCAATGATCTGTTTTACTTTCGTTGCACACGTCAGAAGTTTTTTCAAAAATTTATTCCAGCGTTCGGCAAAAGACGCTACGTCAATTTATGTAAATGTCTAAATCAGCTGCTTTGGCTAATACATGGTGTTGCCACAGCGTTAGTGAATGCGGTGGTAAATGCACATTACCAGACCTCTAACGTTTAAATGTTATGTTCGCTCCATGTCTGAGGGAAACTCAACCGTAAGCATGATGTATTGCAAATGTCGGTAGCTCTATGATAGAATGAACAACGGCGCATTATTTATAAATTTGTTTGTGCTGTCGGTGGAGTCGTTAACAAACAATGGTCTAGAAATCAGAATAAAAGTGTAGAGAAGTTTCGTATTGGATAATAATGGAATTGATCCGAATCTTGTTTCATCCAATTCGTTCTGTCCAATCTTGTTTCGTTAATAAATTTTGACAGTGAGAGCAATTTGTTATACATGTGCAATGGAGATGGTCTGATAGACTCTGGTCATGTTTTTTGTTTTGAAAATTAAGATAAAAATAATACCGTTTGAATTTATCAACTAGTAAAATACGCACTCATTGCCCTACCACCTCAAGTCTAAAGGCCATTATATAAACCATTGTGTTAATGTAGTTTCATACAATTCTAAAGAGGAAGCTAGCTCAAGCTTAAAGCAAGAGAGTAATAATCCGTTAGCAATTCGCTAATTAAGCTCTGTCAATTTCGCATTGAGATTGAATTTTTTAAAAACAATTGGACTGAAACTTCATTTCAAAGTCCTCCTCGACAAAAAGTTTTATAAACCCTAACAGTAGACCACTGTCTGTCACAGCTTTATTTTTGTATATAATTTATCGTATGGAGTTGAACATGATCTAATATCGAGACCAAATAGTTATTTAATAGACCCCAGTCTATGCATGTCTGCCACGTGAAAGCTACCTTATAAACCTCATTCATATTTTGGAAATTTGTAAGTCCTATACTTTTTTAATAAAATCAAATTTGACCCTATTTCAAACATTAATAGAACAAAAAGCACACTGTATGCTTCTCTGACTTCTCAAGGACTTTTAAAATTGTGTCTAGATTGTTTAAACTTTTCTTCTGTATAATCACTAACATCATAATTACAACAACAATAATACTTTTCAGTACCGGAAATAATTTTCCGCCCCCTTTCTCCTAACCAGCACTGCAAACGCAAAAAATCATGCAGTCATTATATTCATATATGACACACATTATGCTCTATTATATAATAAATATATACATACATACACACACTTACATATGAGAATTGTTTAAAAAACGCTATTTTCTAAACCCCCCCTTCTTCTATAAACGGTCATACTTGTATAGAGGGATGATGAATCCAGGTGTTCAATAAATTTGTTAGTTTGGCAGCCGATAAGAAATATTTGTGGCGGCTAACATTCGAACACATTTTAACAAACATATGTGTATGTATGTGTTATAATTGCAGCAAGGGCGGTGGGAAGAGGTGGCGTTGGTGGTAGCAAAGAGTGAATGTAACAAAGTGTATTTTTAACCCTAGTTGACATATGCACATGTGCAACAATTATCACTACAAAAACAAAGGTTACCTGTCAGTCCCTTTTTAATTCTAATATTTTTGTTGCATTAGTAATAGTTATTGTAAAAGTTTGTACGTAAGGGACGGGTTTGCATGCGTTTAGTGGGTGGAAGCCAATAAGTTTTTTTTTTCGTTTTTTTACGTAAAGGAAATCGTAATTATACGCTCAGCGGGTGCAACGTGTAATTACGGGATATTTGAACGAACACAGTTCAGGGGATGGGTGACATATTGCGGCAAGTACAAAAACACTAATAGACTAATAGTTAAGCGCTCCAAAATCTCTAACTAGGAAATATGTGGTCAGACTGTTTTTCTACATCGATTTCAATTTGCTTACGTTGATTATTTCAACATCTTGGCTATAAATACTCGTACATATGTATTTCAAGAGAGACGGTGAAAACGTTACAGTAGGTAATTTGATTTTTTTCTCTCTAATTGCCTAAGCGAATTAAGTGCAATCATAACCACAGTCATTCGGCCTTATCAATGAAATGAGAAAGCTCTTCTAATTTCTCTACTAAAACAATTGCTTTAACGACATTCAGAGCTCCAAAATATGAAGATATTCTGATCATGCGATCCGAATGGAGCCACTGGGTTTTCAAGTGCTAAACCATTTTGATGTCGTGATAAAATCGCCTTCCTCTCTCACACAAAATTGCAGCTTAGAACAGTCGAACGAAAATACATACATATTTAATTTAATATATTAAACTTTCTAGGCACTTATATACAAAGGTTTCATACTGTATATCAAACAATATTTGTAGTACTCTCTCTTCTAGTGGCTTCTAGTGTATTTACCGAATTTCTTTTTATGATTTCAATCGACCGCAAGTGAATACGAGTATGTGAGTGTTGAACACCGAACAAAGCCTCAGTGAGGCTGGGCTCATTTCTCTTAGAAATATCTTTGCAAAATATAGGTCAAAAGCTGCGAAGAGTTTCATAGTCAGAACAGTACTTAAATATATTGAGTCGATACATCCACGGAACACTTTATGCCACTCAATTCATATTCTTAATTAAAAACGCTGCATCAACTCTATACTTCGTTCACACAAACTCCGCTTACAATTCACTATATTTATTCAATTCTTACCATTTATATATTTAGGCTTAATAAATTGCAAGACTATGGAAATAATACTTGAAATCATTTCAATATATTCAATAATTTAACGAGCCAAAACCACCTCCTTTATCTATAGTCCAAACTACAGATACAATAGTTTACTTACTAGTTCCCGAATTCTATTAATGTGTTGAGCTGTTATATTTTACTTGGAGTTCTTAAAACAAAGTGAGTCTTTGCGCTAGAAAGGTCTTGTAAAAATGTTCTCGGCAACTCGCCGAAATATGGTTGGAAATCTTCAAATAACATTTTCTTATACTATTTTCACTTTCTCTTCACCCTCATAACCTCTTTAAATAAATAAACACATATTTCTGATAGTTTTGAAACTTGTATTGTTTATAAACACTCTTTCTTGAAGCTTTTCGAAGAGATCAATTCATTTTTAGACTTATAATAGTTATTCTAATAAAATAAATACTCACTTAAAATTATTATACCACAGAAGAACTTGTTTTAGTTAGTAAATAAGTACATATGATTTATCATCATGATTCATAGGAGTTATGTTAATGTGTTTCGCGCGAAGTTCATAGTAGAAACTTGGTGTTTGCTGTAACGCTGAAGAAGAACCTTTACTTAATACTATTAACACATTTTTGACTAGCTTCGTTTTCCAAAATCAATGCCGCATTCTCGCTTATTTTCTTTTTTATAATTGCACTCACGAATTGGTGCATTATTATTGTGTTTAGATGCCATTTTGGTGTACACCATTAACACTACCGCTTTGTAGTTTTGGCGCTCCAACACCATCAGGACCGCCACCACAATATCCCTCCGTTGATGTGCTGCCACCGCCGGTGCTGCTGCCTTCACCTAAATTGCTGTAGCCACTGGTTGAATCGTCGCTTTGATTGCTATTCTGATTGTGATTGTGAAATTGTTGTTGTGCTGTTGTTGTTATTTGATGTTGCTGATGTTGTTGTTGCTGTTGTAAGGGCATCTGCCCCAAAGACTGGTGTACTCCATTGTGATTGTGCTGGTGATGTGAAGTGTGTGCAGGTGCACGGGGATCCTCTGGTGTCCAGGTACGCGCATAGAGTTTACTGCCCGGATAACGATCCCCCTTACGATACCAAGAGAGCGAGTGAGCAATGCCGCCGCCTGCAAAGGTAGACAAATCGTTGTATTGAGTGTATTTCAGGAATTTATAGATACATATATATTTTAGTTATTGAGAGTGTGCATAAAAATAATACATAGCTACTCTCCGAAAAAAAAACTAAGTTTTGAAATATTTCATAGATATTCTGCAAATGTCTGCAATTAAACAATTTAATGTAAAAAATATTTTTTTTAGACATGTGGTTTTCAAGTATTATAAAGATAAGGGTTTGCCATTATGTTTCAACAATGGCTCGAATAAATCCTAGTTGGGAGACCCAATTTTATTTTTTTGGGACCGTATAACGTGCAGACTATTCTCTTCCAAGGCTTCAATCGTCTGGGGATTATCGCAGACAACGACTTCACATAACCCCTCAAAAAATAGTCCTGCGGTGTTAATGTGGTCCACAACGCAAGATAATGCGTTCACCAAAAGTGGCCTTCCGGAAATTGATCATTTCGTTTGCTGTATGTCATGTAGCGCTGTCTTGCTGGAGCCAAAGGGCGTCCACATCAACATTCCCTAATTCAGGCGCGAAAAAGTCATTAATTATGGCTCTATAGCGTTCCCCATTTATTCTAACATTATGGCCGGCTTCATTTTTGAAGAAATATAGACAAATGATTTCATCTGCCCGAAGAACTCATCAAACAGTGACTTTTGTAAAATGAAATGAATTCAACCAAGATTGAGCTTCATCGCTGAACGAAAATGTCTTGTGAAAATCGGAATCGGTAGTCATCTCACTTTGGTCCCATTCACCGAAATGCCAGGCGTTTGATGGTCGTTTGTCTTCCATCCTTGCATGAGTTGGATTTTGTAAGCCCGCAAACCAATCTTCTTCCTCAAAATCTTCCATAAAATGGGTCACAACTCTAATTGTTGCCCGCGACATCGGATGGACTGATTTGGGTCTTCTTCGATACTCGGCTGAATAGCAGCAATAGCGTATTCGGTGCTCACTGTACGGCGGCTCTGAGAATGCGCATAATCCAATAGAGTACATGGAGCGAAACAGATCAATGGTCCAACTCTGCTGGGCGTTTATGTCGACCGACGATTTACGAACGTTGTTCCAGATTAAATCTGTTCATTATAAAATGGCACCCAAACTGAGTAAAAATCAAGTAAAAACTGTCAAAAAAATCAACTGCGAAAAAACTATTGCCTCATAGAAACCCACACGTTGAAATGAAGATTTTACTTAAGAATACCCCCCATAAAAGTTTCCGAATAATAGTTTTGTATAACATATCTTTCAAATTAAGTTTTCTTTAACAGTATCAAATATTCTTTGGAAGATATTGGGATGCATTGTTTTTTTTATTAGACTTAAATTTTACCAAGCTTCTGGGGTCAAAGAATTTTTTATTAACTTTCAAACCCCTAAAACTTTAACGAAACATTCACGACGTTTACATATATATATTATATGTTTATCATAAGTATGTAGGTACAAAATGCATTCTTTTATTTAAGAAATTATAATTATTGAATCCATGAATAACAGATTATAATCAAATATATAATCTTATAGTTTTTAAAGTGAACACCACGTAACTGTATTTACTTCGTGTTCGCCTCGGCTCAAATAACGGGCTTAGCCCAGTGCTTAATTTCTTCAATGAAAGTGTCAACAATTTTAACGCCCAAACAATTAAAATGCCAACAATTGCAATTACAACGAAATCAATAAAAACAACAACAACAACAACATAGCTTATTACAGAATCCTTTCGTTGCTTGCATCTCTTCATGTTTACACGAATCCCAGCCGTTTGCCGGCTTGCTGCACTAGTAATCAAGAATCCATTAGCAGCAACATTACAACCCCATTAGAGAGGCGAGGAGCAAAGGTAAGCACGAAGATGCTGACGACGCATAATCTCTGCCTCGAACTCTTGTTTGCCGTTTGCCGTACTGTTTATTATTGCAGCTGCATGCTGTGCCACAATTATGCTTCCGCAAGTGGTTGTCGTTTTGCTCTCGTTTTTGTTATTGTTTGGCAAATAAAAGTACGTGCGTGTATGTGTGTGTTTGCGCAAAATGTTAAAAACTCAGATGTTGATTGCCTTTTGGCACTTTGTTTTTGTTTTTTATTCGAATTACTCGTATCCTTTCAGTGTGTGTGTGTGTTTGTGAGGCACTGTGTTGCCTAGTCGGATTTTCGGCAGTTGTAACAACAACAAGCGCGGAAAAGCATAAGCTGCCAATCAGCGCGTGTTGCAGCAGCGAGGGTTGAAAGTATCTATGCTTTGTGCAAGGATGTGCTTGTTCTCGATGGTTTATGGACTGGATTGGAGGGCGTTACGCTCTGTGCCACCAGCTTCCTGCCAAACAACTTAAGTTTTGTGCAATTTGTTGCGGCGGTAAGCGATGCGCTTTCATAGATATTTTGTGTGGGTGGCCGCAGGGTGTCGCTTCCCAGATTCCGCATTTGAAGTGCACAAATGGTGTTGTTCAAGTGTTTTCACTTAACAAAATGCAAACTTCTCATCATTATTTACATTGGTGTCAATTTCTTTGCAATGTGTTTACTGTTATTGTCGGTGCTTATTTGTTGCTTGTTGGTGTGAAAATGCACAAGGCGTGCGCTTAATATGAAGCGTTATTTCAAAATGATGGCGTTGTTTTGGGTAGAGGAGTGGATGAACATGTCTATCATTATTTAAGAAATAGTCCCATACATGTGGTGTTTACGTCATGATAGATAATTGATGCAGCTACTCTCATTCGTAGTATGTGGCTAATCGTTATTGGGTCTCATAATATTTAAAACACTTACGTACTGTGCTTGAATTGAATTGAATTGATCGGATATCTGAGTTATATTCGTAATAGTTTTATGGATCTGTTTTAGTTTTACTTAAAACGAGTATTGGAAAGATTCGACTAGATGAATACTAAGAAGTTAAATAATAACTATAATGATTGAAAACATTTTATTAGATCATAAAATTTGTATTTTTTTAACCAGCTTTTCAGTTTCATGGAAACAAACGTCTTGCTTACTTCAACTACTTCTTTTGGCTCCAGAAAAAGTTGACCACGTGGTTATTTTACATAGTTTGTTCTTGGCATAACGAAACTAAATGAAAATTTAAGTGTACGAAAAATTATTCAACAATTCGCTTTTTGGTAGGCAGAATATCTGTTGGAACGCATCCGTGAATGTTAAATCTGCTTTTATGAAGGTGTTTTTACCAACGCACACAGATTCATCGGTCTCTAATATATACATATGTATGTATATAATTTTGTAAAGTTCTTGTATAATATCTTTTCACAAAAATATCCATCCCATTGAAAACATATTTTTTACATCAACGTGATAGGGGGTTCTTAAAATGTTGATACCCAATCACCTACCCATTATTTTGTAAAAATAACAAAGTGCCGATAGTGTGCTCTAGAACGTTGCTGACACGACGATTTTGCTTAGTTGTAGCCTGAACAAGGGGTATATAAAGTTTGCCACGAAGTTTGTAATACACAGAAGGCTTATAACGTACATACATACTTATATGTACATACGTATATGTTGGTATAAATGATCAGAGTGACGAGCTGAGTAGATTTACAATACATACTTGTAGATATGTCCATCTACGCGAACTACTTTCTCAGTATTTGAGTTATCGATCTGAAATTTTGCACACAACCTTTTCTCTCAAAGAAGCTGCTCATTTATCGAATATCAAGAGGGAATTTGGAATAGATTAGTGTCCAATGCAACGCTACAATATCCGAAGAAATTGCTTACATAGAGCCACTCTAGCATACAGCTCCTATACAAACTGACCGATCAAAGTCAAGCTAAAGATCTTCATAAAAGACACTTTTTCGCCTTGAAGATTGTTTATATCAAACAACAACATGGCTAGAAAGAACTAGCAAAACGTTTTCTGTTGTTATGCAAACCGTTAGGCGGTCCCGCGTTCTTTAAAAAAAAACGTCAATATTGAGCTTTCATTTATCTCAATGATAATTTCTAAACTTTTTCTCTGCAAGCCCTTAAGTGATCCTAAACATGGAAAATAAATTTAACCCTCTTCTCAGCCACCCACTTCCACAGTTGTACCGGCGCCGCTTTGTAGTCTCATCTTCAACGTTGTTTATTAGCTGCACGTAGCTTTAGTGCTTTGTAGCAAATCATTCAACTTTTTCGTACATATACTTACATACTTATATACCTACACAGACGTCTGTATGTTTATAATAAATATGGTATAGTCTATTGAAGTTTTGCCATCTGTTGGCGTAAAATGGATTTCTCACGGTATGATTATGTTGATTTCCCTCATTCCCCCGCTTTTTGCTTTATTTTCATTGCATGTTTCCTCTTATCTGTTGTTTCATTATTTTTGTTGTAGTATGTACTTGTTTCTTCAACATTTTTTTCGGTTGCATCGCTATTAAAGACAGTTTTTGTCAAGAACAATGAAGGAGCCAGAAATTAATAAAAATATATACTCAAGTGTCTTTAATACTTTGGGAAACATTCGCTTAAAACTTTTTTATTAAACATAATATCTTCACGAAATTTGGCATGAGTTATTTCCAATAGCAATAATGCAATATCCGAAGAACTTCTATAGCTCTGATGATTATAGCATACAGCAGCCATACAAAGTGAACGATCGGAATCAAGTGCTTGTATGGAAAACTTTTTTATTTGACGAGGTATCTTCACGTAATTAGATCAGAATCAAGTTCTTGTAAGAAACCTTTGTATTTGTGCAGGTGCAACCGAAGTAATCGATTTTTTATTATTTATTTTATTTAAAAATTATAAAAACTTGAAAAGTTGTTGCTTCGTTGCAGTTTGTCGAAGGATTTATAGACAAGTTTAAGGTTAAACGAAAAGTGCGCCAATATCTATGGTAGATTAAAGTTGCGAGTGAGACACATGGAGTTCGCAAAACAAGCGAGTTTTTCTTTACAACTTATAGTTGAATGCTTCAATAAATACGCTATTGAACTATAAGTAGTGTATAGTTAAACTCCCAGAAGAAGTTATAATAATATTTTTGTGTCCTTTCTACTTTGCAACGGCAGTATATTCTACTACAGGGAGTCTTACCTCCACCAAGTACTTGCGTCGAAGCCAATATATGCGTGGAAACATGATCACGCAAGGAAAAAAATAAAGGATTTAACGAATAAATAGTTTACAAACGGCGTATAGATTTTGGTCAAAAATTGCTTGTCCCAGAAATACACTTTAAGGGGTTATATCCGCTTGTAATTTTCAAAAAATCGATTTTGCGCATTCGAATGTACATGTATTTGAGTATGTTCTCCGAATATTTTAAGTTGATCCAACAAATGGTTTTGGAGATATGAATGTATTTGTAAGAATTTTTTAACTCAGTGTTTTTCTCGAAGCGCTGATTGCAGAGTCGGTGAGGAAAATTTCTCTGAAACGGCTGAATCGATCGGCTTGAAATTTCCACACGACATTCTTAAATATATTTTTCATTTATGAGATTTTTGACAATAATTTCGATTTTTTAAGCCACTTTAAATTGTTAATTTTCTTACAAAAAATTAATTTTTTTGTTTGGGAAGCCGCCATTTTCTCAAAAACAAAATTTTCACTATTTCTTCGATCATAATACTAAATTTCATTGGTTTTTGGTTTCAGATAATTTGTCGCCGAAATATCTCCCTCACCGCCAGACACCTTTTTCCGGAGATGCTTCTGGAGATCGACTGTAGGAACAAGGGGATCCAAAAAAATTCACAAAAATACGCACTTTTCAGGTCTTGCAAGTGGATGTAACCCTTAATATGATTTTTTCGTCTTTAGGTTTTTTTAACCATATCTTATAAAGCGACTATTTGTACCCTATTATAATCGAGTTCAAAAAGTGACCTTTTCTACTCTAACAGGCACGCAGTGAGACTCATTGATTTTTATAATTTTAATACCGTTATTAATTTAAACTTTTGCCTATAAAAATATGGATAGAAACCTGTTTTAGTTAAGCCAGTACCTTTACGTTAAGTAGAACCACTACATATTTAGTCATTTCTCTTATTACAATGGATTAAACCTATAGTCAAACGAAAAATGGAAATACCAAAAAAATAATATTAAACAACATATCTTTAAATTAATAAATAATGCAGTAATTGCTTAAACAGTTCAAAATTTAAAAACCGGTTCAAATAACTCAACTTCTCAAGTGGTAAATTGGTATGTTAAAAAATTGGAACTTAAATGAGCACGTTCTTTCTCGTAAAATTAAAATTTATTTTTGTTTTGACAAACTTACAAAAAACTGCTCAAATATCGTTAAAAAAGAGTTTTCGAATTGGTAAACAAACTTCAACCGCTTTTCCCGTTTCTGCTTGCACCCTTTCAACTATAAAAGTAGGGCTAATATACATAAATGCATGTCTTTTTGGTTCAGATGCGTTTCGTGCAGATCGCGATTTATATTCATCCAAATTTATATATGCATACATACATATACATATATGTATATGTTTATGTATATACATATGTAGCAGCTTTGCTGCCTACCCCCTTTTTTGCATGCGCTGTCGCATCATACAATTTGAATAGAAAAATTATTAACCAAAAACCGTGACTAAAGATGGTTTTATTAGATGCAGCAGAAAGGGAAGAAGGAAGAGGGTATATAGGCAAGCATGTTCAGTACTTCCGTGCAACATTGCCACAAAATACCACGTGCAACATTCGTACATATGAAGAACTGAGTGTATCATCGGTAATTTGTGAAATTCGCATTGAATGGCACTGAATGATCGATTCTTCCGCTTCCCCTTCCAACTCTGCCGAGCACCTTTTTTTGGAGGATTTCATGAGAAAAGTGTGAAAATTCTAATTAGTTACACTTAGCAGCTTATTGTGGCTGCTGTAAGCGGTTACTAATATAGAATTCACACGCAAATGTGTGCGTGTGATTGTATGTGTATGCAATGTATTGCTATGTGCAAATGAATTTTGTGTTTGCCACCACCCGATCACATTAGCGGTGCGGTGTATTACATCGAGTTCAAGCTGGTATCCACGCTCAATGGATGTTCATTAGAGTGCGCAGCTTGCGGCATAAATTCGCGGCAACAACTCCTCAATTAATTTCATCTGCTCAATCGGCCAAAAATATAAAACCGTTCACAATTTTTTGTGAAAAATACGAAATTTAAGGCAATTTATTATTATATACTATGTACCCACATCCCGTGTCTTCAGTTGTGGGCGTAAACGCTTGACCAATTTGATTGATGTTCATGTATTATAAAGCATGATTGTACGAGTATAGTATCAGCATCGCGTGCAAGATTTGCTTATGAGTAGTAATTAGTGCAATTGTGCCGGCAAATATTTCTAAATTTGATATAATTTTTACTAGTGAAGTATAACTGGTAAATTAATGAACATAATGGCGTAAGCATGCAGGTTATTAACCTTCGAGCACTTTCTAAGCTCCGGCAGTTCAAAAATCATTAGCAAACTTACGCCGTCGCTCAGTAGAAGTGAACGCTTGAACGTTTAAAAAGAAACTTTTACATCAATTCTAAAGCATTTTTTATACTATTGCTACGATAACGCAACGTATTTCAGACGAGGAGCGAAGGCTACGCTATGCAACGCGAGTAGTTCTTGCTCAATTCCGCGCTATTTATTGCAGAACCAGAATATAAATATTTTACTTATATATGTATAATATCCTCTTCAATGGATCTCTTTATGACTTTATTCACCGCCTTTCAAGGTTCTTTTACGTCACTCTTGCAATACCATCGTTGACTACCAATTTAGTCAACAAAATATTTCGAAGAATATTAAAAAAATGTTTAAACATTTCCGCTCAAATAAAAAAAATATATATCATATAGAAGTCCAAACATCTATGATTCTTCTAATACTATTCTTACTTTCAACTCATGCGGCTGCGACTAGTACATACCTACATACATATTTTACCGCTTAACCACTCCGAATGTTAAAAAATTTAAATATTTATTCTTGTACAATAATTTAATCGCACCGCCAAACTAAAGATCTAAGGAATATGATTACATAATTGTCGTACTCACTTCTATCTTTTAGGATGATCTTTTTGGGCGGCTCTTTTTGATAGTTGCGCTGCAAACTCAAACCCGGTTCATTGCCATTTTTATCCTTTTTCACCATTTCACTCAGAAAAGTTATATAACTGATCGCCAACTTCAGTGTATCCACTTTACTCAAACGTTTCTCATAGGGCAAAGTGGGAATATGTGAACGTAGTCCCTCAAATGCCTCATTGATGCTCTGCATACGACGACGTTCACGCAAATTGGCCGCTTGTCGCTGTTGCGCCATTTGCGAGGCACACTTCAAGCGACGCGGTTTGTGCAAGCGACTAATTCGACAATAAAGAAAGCAATTGATATCAGCACATTAACGATTCGCTATTGTAACTGTATGTAACTCACCTCTTTTCATTGTTTTCCTGGTCACTATTGAATCCACTGCTATACGCATCATCTTCATCACTCTCCGAGCTATTATCATCATCGCCAAAAAAGAATTCCGAGCTGGAGCTGGAACCATTCGTCGCTTGTGAGCCTTCGAAAAAGTGTCGTGCCATTGTCGCTTCCAAATCGAAATTGTCAAGGGAAAACATGCTAGCGGTAATATTGGACAAAGGTGCAGGCTGACGTGTATTACTATTGTTATTATCGCTGCTGTTGTAATTCCCTACACTTATTGACTCGTCCAATCGTTCGTAAACACAATTATTTAATTGAATAATTGGCATTTAATAGTTTGCGCATTTTCCTTTTCAAAATTCTGCTTTCTAAGTGCGCGCACGCGTCGCCACCGATTTCACTACTCGTATTTGACTTATGACTTTCGTCACAAAACGTTGTTGGCTACGGGCCGCGTGTCCTACACGTGCGCTTCACACCAGAACAAGTGTTCTCCAGAAGCATACAGCTGTTGTCATCTATTGTTTGTAGATTCTTTTATTAGATAACAATTAGTTGGTTTTTGGTTGAAATCAGTGTTGTTGCTATCATCCCTCTACTCGTCTGCTTTACCGAGCGCCTTCGGTGAGTTTGGTTTTCTTATCAATTAGCTGGAAAAGCTTTCTATGTAAAGAGATAAATATGTTTATTATCTGTTGATGTTTGTTCGGGCCCTTATTGGATTGTTTATCATTAATTTATGATGACATTTTAAGTAGGGATATTTGAGGTTATTGATTTTTGCATATCTATTGTAATAAACATGTTTTACATGAGTTTGGTTATCAAAACCATTTTGTTTTATATATTATCACCTATTTATCGCTCGAATATAGAAAATATCATTCATATCAAATCAACAAATAGTTGGCCTCGACCCCCACCGATTTGAATGAATTTTGGTGGAAAGTTTTGTCTTATCACAAAACGAAGTTCTGCCAAAGGAAAACATTTTAAAAAAGTTTTCCTAACAACTATGCAAAACTCTTTCTGAAATTTTCAAAAATTCTGAATTTTTCGTTTCAAAGATATGAATTTGTGAATTTTGGCAAAATAGTTTTTTTCTGCTTTTTAATTTTTTTTGTTGAATATCATTATTCTATCACATGAGTATCTATTTCTAATGGTTGTAAAAATAACAATAATAAATAAACAAAAAAAAAAAACTTTTTTAAGAAAAATAATTTAATTTAATGAATTTTTTTGCTGATAGTGTTCAAGCCCTAACATTCTTTCACAGACACTAAAGTTAACCATTTTGGATTGCTATACGGGTTGAAAAGTCTATAACCTGGCAATGAAAGAACGTGTATTTCAGATAAAAACATGATTTGGTTTTTCGTCTTGATCTTCTTCTAGAGTCAGATATTCGTTATTGAGTTCAACAGTTGGAAACCCATTTGTTTGTGCGGCACACTACGACCTACAAAATAGATGTTTATTTCCATCTTGACCCCCTAAATTGCGTGAAATATTTTTCTAGCGAGCGATATTTGAGTCTGGGAAAGAAGTAGTTGTCGCTGGTGCCCAAAACTGGCGAATATGATGGGTTAAGAACTAGTTCATAGCATGCTTAATTTTTCTTGTTAAAAGAGCCAATTTTATTTTATTGCCAAATGAGGGATTAGCACTTAGCTGCACCATGATCCAGTTAGTCGATCCAAATAGTTTTGGCACAGAAACTCGCTCAGATTCAGATTGGCCTTTGAACGTTTGAAGTTTTGATCGATGTCGAAAAAACGCGCTACTCACTTCTTTATTAGTAAAAACTCGTCTAGGATATGACCTACGCGTTCTAGAGACCATTGAATATGGCGCAGATTTTCGGTAACACTTATCAAGTTCACTTTTTTCCATTGTAAACAATAAAAGCAGAATTAGCGTCGCTTTGAAAACAATAACTTGAAAACTATAGCATGAAATGTTCTATAATTTTTACAATATTCTAATTAAGGTTTGTGTTCTAGGGCAAGGATATACAATAGATTTTGTGTTTGTGTATCGATCTCTCCATCAAAGAAAAGCATTCTAAACAGTGGAAGAATAATAAAAGAACTTTGTAGAAAGCTTTTAAATATCGGTACTCCTTCATTACATGTTAAAAAGTTAACCAATAGTTTGAACACTTTATTTTGGGTGTGCCCGTTTGCTGGAGTGCTGATGCTAATGTATGGCATATATACCTTATGCGACTCTCATTGAAATTCAAGAAATGTTACCATCAATTTTAGATTTACTTCCGCCGATATTTTGGCCAACGATCTACTACTACGTGATTAATATCAAAGCCCTGCATGAAGAAAATTTTAATAAACGTCTGATCTGCACTATAAAAATTACTTTTTTTTAACAGTTAACACTTTTAAAAAGTCATCACAACAAAATGTATAAATTTGGACTTGGAAATTTCGCAATCAGTGACTTACTTATTACTGAGAAAGGGTTATATTCTGAGCTTTGAAAAGCGGCAGGCCAGAAGATCTGTGGATTATATATTAGATATGGAAAATATTCTTCATAGACAAAAATTAGCAAGCGCCGTTGGTAATTTAGTTTTAAAAGTGAAGATTTTTTCGCATTACAAATTTTTTTTTCGTTAATATAATATTTGTCATAATAATCTACCTTTACTTTTTGGTTTTCTATGAGCGCCCAAATTTGCTGGTTTTTATTTAAACATATTTGTTTTCTAATTTCTCGTATATTTATAGGTATATTATTCGTTGTTTTCCGCACTCTTAAATTTATAAATTTTCTTAATTATAATTTATATTCTCAATTAAACATTTAGCACAACTTTCGATTAAAAGTACTCGTGTTCAAGCATTGAATGCAGAATAACAGATTGCACATTTTATATTTTATTTTTATACCGCATTTGATAAACTTGAAATGCAATTTTATAGCCCGTCGGCTCTGACAAACGCCAATTTATATTTGAACCGCTTTTAGGCGCATAATCGCTTGCCACTTCCGTTCACGAGATCGTACAACAAATGAATGTCTTGCGGTAGTCTATAGTGGCCGTTCAGTTACCAATATCCGGACAATTGATAAATGAATGTTTATAACACCCTCTCTACCGCCACACCATGCAGTAATATGCAGTCATTTAAGGGGGTTGTTTTTCGTGCTGCCAGATTGTTTTCCGGCTAGCAGTGATAATCAACCAAATTAAAGTGTGTATGTTTGTGCGTGTGTGTTGTGGAGGCCACAAGTTGGGTTGAGTGTAAGTATATTTCGACAATGATGGCGGCAAACTTCAAGGAATGAACTTACTGGGCGGAGCTTAGCACTGTGCCAATCGGAGAGTGTATCGTGTGCTTAGTGAAGGAATGCTCTAGTTGTTGTTTTTCTACTTGTCAAAGGTGTCAAACTAAAGTAGGACAGGTTAAATAATTAGCCATATGTTTATATATAAGACATCTCTACCTAAGATATTTAATAGCAATATAAAATGCAAGTAATTACTTTATTTGCGAAAACAAAGATGAAACGTATAGAACTGCTATACATGTCCTTTGAAAGTAGATACATATATACTTATAATACATCTGAGTATACTGTATATGTATATAAATTTTCCTAACATAATAAGAGCTGCGTTTTCATAAGCCTTAAAGTTTGCCAGACCTACGTCAGTCAAAAAATCACCAAATAGACATTGCGAATACAAATTTTAACATGTTTTCATAAGATATTTCAGATATTCCTCAGATAACTTCGACCTTAAAATCATTGATGCTTAAGATCTAACTACAAACTGAGTGGATTTTAGCTTTTTTTCTTGAAAGTTCATGCAGTCCTGCGGATAGATTTAACTGAAAGGAACACTAGAAATAAAAACTCCAACTTTAAGCTTACAATCTAGTTCCTTGCCTTCTATCTACTCTACACAAAGTATCAGTAGCTTTTGTAATACACTATACACTAAACCTCCTAACCATCATTATATAAGATTTTACGGATTGCTTTTTACCTTGTAGCCAGAACATCTCATTAACCAAAATTTCAAACTAGATCCCACATTAAATCGTATTGAACTTAGTATAAGACCGCTATGCTGATATTGTACTTAGCCCAGGGCTGCTTCGGTTGCACTGAAGCTATAATACTCTTCAAAACTAAAAAGTTCCCAAACACCAACTTATTTTGAACGATCAGTTTGTATGGCAGCTAAATGCTATAGTAGTCCTGATATCGCCGGTTCCCACAAATGAGTAGCTTCTTGGGAACAAAAGTAGGTGTGCCAAATTTCAGATCAATATTCCAAAAATTTAGGGACTAGTGAGTGTATTTACAGACAGATCTGTATCTAGACACTCAGACTGATTAAATCGACTTAGCTCATCACTCTGATCATTTATGTATACATATATTTTATAAGGTCTCCGACGTTTCCTTCTGGGTGTTACACGCTTCGTGGTAAACTAAATATGTTTATCCTTTTTAGGGTATACATAATAAATAACTGAATCATATAATCATAGCTCACAAAACAACTCAAAAAGAGTATTTTCGATTTGGTTATTTTTGCTTTCCAAAAACAAAAAAAAGCTTAAATTTATTTCCTACATCTCAATAAATAATTTATACCCTGTCTCTATATACATACATATTTTCACTTTACAACAACCGAAATTGTTTTAGACGTATCTTTCCAGCTTTCATATCTCTCCAATTTTACTTCTTATCTATTTATATGATTTTCCAAAATCTGCTTAGCTTTGAAGTAATCAAAAATCGTCTACAAACTTCTATTTTCTTCAAAAAGGAGCTTTTCTTTAAACTATTACTTATACTTTTAAAACCCACTTGTTTTTAGGATACACCCAATCTCTTGATAGCACCCATACTATTAAATTTTTCCTTAAAAAAAATAACGCTTGTATATATGGAGTGAGTGTTTTTGCCTTCGAACTAATTTGTTTATACAGCTGCACAGCTGCTCATCACACAAATTTTCGTTAGTTCGATCAAACACAACATAATTTGTTTATCATTCGTGTCCTTAGGACAATACAATCATAACAGTCTGCCCGTTAAACAACAACAGCAACGATAGAAATGATAAAAGAACAATATGTAATTTGTACAATGTTGGCCTTAAGCAACAACAATTCGAAAGATAGCCCACTATAGATATCAAATACATGTTTGCATGTATGTATGACTGCCGAAAATTAACCCTCATAAACGTATCTGTAGGGTGATGACTTTCATTCACAAAGCACTTCAATACTTGTAGGAAATTTTAGAGAAGAAAAGTATTTGTAAAATTTGTTGAGAATATTACAGCAATTATTTATATTTACTTGTAGTATCAATTATCTTTTCGAAAAATTTTCAAACATTTTTTTCAAAAAATTTTCTGATAATTAATTGGAAATAATTAATTTTTTCTTAATTACTCATTATTAATAAAAAAAATAAAAAAAATTGAATATTTTGTAAATAAATAATTAAATAGCAAAATTTTTCCTGCTGGGTCACAACTGAATTTTATTTCTGGCGCGTTTTAAAAATTATGTCATTGAATGTGGCTAAACAATTGGATGAGGAATTATATTTTGACACCCTTGTCACTGGAAGTGCAGTTTTGAATAAGCAAATAATGAGCGTTACCCCCAAAGCGTGAAGGAGGTACTCGCGTATGGCTCATAGGCCGCAGTACGGAAAAAGTGTTTAAAGCAAATATAACATGATCTGTTAAAAAATAATGTGGACAATAATTAAAACTATTTTTTTTGTATTTATATAGAAATATTTTTAATAAATCCCACTATTTAAAAATTAATTGTTAAAATTACTGTTTAAAGATCAATAGATCAAATATAGTGCTACAGCGCTTCAATACCAATATATGTATAGGTATATATAATATTTAAATGGTTAAGACGTATCTTGAAGAATTCAAGTTTTCCTTATAATTCTTTTCTCTATTATTCCAAATCAATACTACTAAAGCCAAAAATATTACTCTTTAATTATAATTCCATCTGTAGTGGGTTAAAGTCATCTAATATTTAAGTCCTGTGCGCCAAGCATTAATACACATTACTAGTATCGACGGCATGTCTCTATTAACACCCTAATAAGAACAAAATATAAATGACAAGCACTTTCTAGTTTTAATGCTGAAAAATTATACTGGTTGACAATTAAAAACTTTATGCAAACAGAAAATAAATTGTACAACGTGACAATTAGAAACAGTTTACAACATATTACATCATTAATCAGAATTTGAACTATTGGAAAACATTAAAATACATACATATGCATGTACAGGTTGGTTGCAAAGTTTCTGCGCTCGAAATGAAAAAATACTGATTTGACACGAAATATATTTTTTATTTAATTTAATCTCTCTTAACTTCAGTACACTTATTCCAATGATCCTCCATAATTTTATGCCATCCCTATAATGACTTAACGGAAGCTCTGCAAAATACCCGTCTTCGGCAGTAATAGCTTCTTCATTCGACAAAAAACGCTTTCTACGAAGAAATTGTTTCCGGTTTCTGAAGAGGTAGTAGTCGTTGGGAGCCGAATCTGGTGAATACGGTGGATGCTCAAGCCTTTCGTACTTTAATTCGTTGAATTTTGTCATTGTTAAAACACATTTGTGAGCAAGTGCATTGTCTTGATAAAATTTTTTTTTGTGCTGCAAACCAGATAATTTTCACGAATTTTTTCATCCAGCTGATCCAAAAGGTTTCAGTAATATTCAGAGTTGATTGTTTTACTTTTCTGCAGATAGTCAATCAATAAAATTCCTTTTGCATCCCAGAAAACTGATGCCATAACCTTCTTTGCTGATCGGTGTGACTTCACCTGCTTTGGAGCTCAACAACCAGCATCAGTGCTCTGTAAACGTTCTTGTTTCAATTTAGAATCATGGTGGTAGATTCAAGTCTCATCTACTGTTACAAAACGATGCAAGAAATCGGTTGTATTCTGCTTAAAATGTTCCAAATTATGCTGAGAAATTTGTTTTCGATCCAATTTTTGTTGAATTGGCATTAGCAATTTCACGCTTAGTCAAACTTGGATCTTCACTAATTCAATATTATGAACTTGCTCAATGATTTCTAGTGTGGTTGTGCTTTTTGGTCGTCCTTCGCGTGAATTGTCTTCAAGCCTCGTACTAGGCTAGGCCACGTTTAAATTTACAGCCCAAAATTCAACGGTGTGTTTTGAAGGTGATGACTTCTTATACACTTCTAACAATTGTTAATAAATTGCCTTTGTTTTTAAACCTTTCAAAACAAAGAATCTAATCACTGCGCGGTATTCAATTTTTTCCATATTAATAAAATACTCAAGACAGATGTACCAACTTGAAAAAAAAAATGTGAGCTAGTAGTGTCATTTTATAGTGAACCACTACTCACTTTTCAACCAACCTGTATGTATGTATATCTATATCAACAGAAGTACTTGCAACTTAGTACTTGCTGAAGAATGAAGAAGGCACAGACTTAAAACATTTACTGCCTACCCAAAACCCAAAGGTCAGATTTCAAGTGATTGAAAGCGATAGGTATTTTGTTTAACCTTAAAACAATGTACTGGTACGTGTTTAGAAATATTTCGACACAAACGCAATTTTCTGGTAGATTTTTTGACTTGATATTTTTTATACCATGTATTTTAACGTGATAAGTAAACACGGTTCGAGTTTTAAATATCGAAACTTCTCAAAACCAATAACTATCAACAGACAACCGGCATCCCTCATAGTCGCAAAATTCACTGCAATCGGTTCAGCAGCTTTTATGCATATCTATTGCACTTATTTGAAAAAAAAAATTATATTCATACTTGCATATATAGACTTTATGGCAGCTAATATTCTTGTGGGTAAAACTCCAGTTATCAAATAAAAGAATGAGCTTATTGAAATCAAACCAAATTAATTGATCTTCAATATAATATTATACCTGATATGCCGAAATATCACCGCACAAAGATTTTTACTTTGTTTTTTTTTTGTCGAACTTTAACCGCAATTAATTCTATACCATTTTCCAAAATCAGATTCCAAATATATCCCCACTTAAGATCGCCTATCCTGAAAGGATTATTTCAGCGATAACTTCATATGCATTTCCCCCTCTATAAATCAAGGCTACATAAAGAAATGCAAGAATAATATGATGAAGGAACGAGAAACAAAAAACTAGAGGTGGATGAATATGGGATTATTGGAACGTCACTTTAAAAATTAAAACAAAATAACTATAACCATCATATACATATTCGTATGTACAAACATATACAATTTGTGAACGATCGAAAAGGTAATTCCACAGTTGAAGCACATCTCTAAACCAAACTTAACTATACTGAGGTATCAAAAAAGGATCAAAAATTACAATCCCGACGCTTATCACACACACAAATCTTCCCTTCTCTTGAGTAATCGCGTCCGAGTTCGCTGTCTATTGACGCTGGGTATTAAGTGCAAATCCTCTTGAGTACACGCCTGAAAGCGCAAAAAGTGGATGCGGTAAACAAGCAATAAAGGCAATATATACACATATACATATGTACATACAATACATAATATCCATATATACATATGTACATGTACATATTTAAGGGCATATATATATGTACATAAATATGTATGTATGTTTGTATTGTATAGTATATGAACTTGGAAAGGCAGTAACAAGGACGGTGTTGCTTTAATTGCATTTGTCATTAATAAAGCAAGTTTCTAGAAATTTCAGCTTCAAAACATAATCAATTTAAGATTGAATTGAAAATAAAACTCGCCTGCAGAAAATATCTGAACATATATATCAGTATTTATTTCGGTTCAGCGAAACTCCATTAAAATGGAGACACTTTTCGTGTTTGCCCCATAACCCTTGTGTGTTAGTTAAATTGTTAGTTTTCCAGACATGGTCTTCTACAAATATAAAAATTTTTCGAGTAGAACCTTACAGCCGCAAAGCCTCGAATGTCGAAAACGTATGCTTAGGATCTATACGCTCCGCAAATGTTTTCCCCTCAAATGTAAACTCCGTGTACGGTATTTGATTCAAAATCTCGAAATTAAATTTTCGTCCAATGCGTTGCGTATAGATCGATGTGAATACTGAGCAAACTGCACTTGGTTTAAGCGCACGCACTTCTACAGCTGGCAAATCTTCTGGTGATAATGGGCCCTTCTGCAGACGCCGCGCATACTCAATCGTATATTCGGCAAGAGAACTGGCTAAGCCACGTTTCACATATTTGTAGTTAGTTGAAAGAAAGACAATCTCAAGTACACAATCCACTTGCAGTGTCTTATAGATGTCGGCACTGGTATCGATGCGTTCCAAAAAATTTTTGATACATTTTATAGCAGGTGACCGCACTTTGTTCACTGAATCGAACAGCGTGCAGTTTTCAGGTTTCGATGACTGTGGATATAGCAAGATTTTGCAATTAAAAAAGGGGTTTGAACGGCATTCAAATACTTATATATGAAAGGAGAAATACCATTAGGTGATTGACGGCGATGGCAGCTAACTCGCCATTAGCAATGTTACGCGCTGCGAAAGAGGTATTCTCTGTGAGTAACTTTCGGCATAAACACTGCAGCTCTTCAATAGCTTGTGGTGAACTGGGCGTTTTGGTAGCGATGCTAGCATTCTCTTGTGGTATAAAATTGTCGGTAAACAGCTGGAAAGAAACGAAAGTGAATTTGAGGGTAAAAATCTTGAAGTAGATCTGAGTCATCTAGTAATATATGTAGATGTGATTTCTGGTTCACCTATTTCTTTTGTGGATTTCTTGGTTTAAATGAAATAGAAAATTGTGGGGTTCACTTATAAGATGAAAGGTACTGTGATTCTTGAAGATATTCCAGATATTATTGACTTGAAGCCAAAGCTATTGCATTTTTCGCCAAAAATAATAAGTATTTATTCAATTGGTTTTCAGATAAGACGTCAAATATTCTTAAATTTCAATTGATATCGAAAATAGTGCGTGACTAGTGATAAAATCAATGACATAAAAACGATAAGTGAAAATAACACTTATTTTACTCTATTGAACGTTTTTCCAATTTCCAGTTTTTCAAATCAATTCAGATAACTTATGTATTAAACTTAAAGTCTAAACAATAACCAAAAATATACCAGAAATATAACTTTTCCACAAATATATGGTTTCAAACCTAATACTACGGTATATTAGGTTTGCAGGAGCATTTTGCGAAACAACTTTAGATGCTGTACACACGCCCAAATAATCTAAATCCCCTCAGCAGTTTCAAAAATAGTCAGAAGCAAGAATAAACGTTAAATTCGGTTATAACCTTTTTAAATAAAAAAAAATTGCCTTCGACAATAAGCTTAGCAGTATTTCGTGAGGATATCTTATCAAAAAAAAATGTTCAATACAAGAACTTGGTTTTGATTGTTCAGTGTGTATGGAAACTATATGCTTAGTGGTCCGATATCGGCGATTTCAACAAATGAGTAGCTTCTTGAGGACAAAAGTACGTGTGCGAAATTTCAGATAACGTATTTACAGACAGATGAGAGCCAGACGCTCAGACTAAACTAGAGTGGCTAAATCGATTCAACTCGTCACGCTGAGCATTTATATACCGTATGCATATATTTTACAAAGTCTCCGATGTTTCATTCTGTGTGTTACAAACTTCGTGTCAAACTTTATTTACCCTGTTCAGGGTATAAAAATAAATAATAGCAAACGAAGAAGCCTTCATAAAATACATACATACATATATAAGTTCTAAGCGCAAATCATAATTTAGCGACTTACCTGTACTGCATCATCGTACAGCTCCTCAGTGATCTTGACAATTTCCAATTCACCTTAGAAAAACAAAGGCATTTAATTATTTTTTTCTGTTGTTGAAAACAAATCATTAGAACTACCATTGCTAATAATATGCGAAAGTTTCTCGCTCATCTTTTTTTTCGGTGTAAGTAATTTAATGTCTTTAATAAATGTTATCCAAAATGCGACCAATTTTGCAATATAAAAGTCTAAGCCACAGCAAAAAACAAACCAGCAATGAACACAAAAGCGCCGCCAAAAATCAACTGAGTCCAGACTACCGACTGGTCACTGACTGATCTCAGCAACTGAACTGGAGACTGCTAAATAATGCAAAATAACAGCAATGAAATTATGACACTCTCGATAAAGCTCGAAATTTTTTACGCCACTGATTCGCTTTACTATTCTGAGAGTTTGTATAGAAAGAAGCAAAGTGTTTTCTTAATGAAGCAATTGACAAATATTATCTAGGCTATTGCATATGCGTACAAAACCACTTACAGACATTTGTTTGTTATATATCCCTACAAGAAAATGCTGATGGGCTCACCAATGCACTGACATTTATTATAATGTAGTAATAAGGTCAAATGAACAGTAAAATGACTGTCAATGTTAAGCGACTTTTCCAAAAGCAAATTCTGTATACGGCGAAAGGAGACAGCATACATTTCCATAGAAGTTTCGAGAAGTTGGAAAATTCCTATGTAGCTGTTAATCCGTGCGATAAACCAAACGTGTTGCGTGCTTCTGTGCAATAATTCCTTTTGTGTTATAAAAATGAATAAATAACGATGGAGTTTTCAAATATAATATACGTAAGTTATTATTAAGTTTCAAACAAAATTATATTTTCAGTTAATTCTAATTTTTATTTAGCATACTTAAATTCCGAAATATTCATGAACTGAAGAAACACGTACAGCAGAGCTTTTGAGAGGAGCAAGCATGGAAGTAAGTGAAAATTTCTTTTCATAATTTATTATTTATTTATATATTTGTTACACTCTTTTTTATATATAATATATATATTAAAAGTTTTGAATTTATTAAAGAAATAAAAATTATATTATCTACTGCAGAAAAAAATGTTTCACTTGTGATAGATTTACAGTCATAACTGACAAATAGCAGCTTTGACAGATTTATGGTCAGCAAGGACTCAGAAAGAGGCCTGAGAGTGAGCAGTATAGATATATAGTAAATCAATTCCGAATACACATGTGGTAAAGAGAGATGCAAACTCACACACATACGTTTGTTTACATCAGTTTTTGTACAAGTTTCTTAAGATATTAATGATAGAAACTTTGTTCTGCGCGCTGACTAAATTTTTTCAGCTGTGGCTGCCATATTACCAGTCAAATGGATGTCACTGTTCTTGTAGAGGTCACTGTTCATCTGCATATATATTTCATAAGAGTGAAATTGATAATGGCAAGGGAGGATGAGGGAAGTTATGAAATTGAAATAGTTTGCATTAAGGCGGTGTTAAAGAATATAAAATGGTGTATATTTGCATTTAGTAGTTTTGAAAGATATTTATAAATACAATATACTGCGTAAACAATATAACACTCGCAGTATATCGAACGGCAAGTCTTATTTCTACTAATAACTTTAAAACTTAAAAAGACAATGACAATGAATTTTACAGACAGCTCTAATTTTTTAGATATAGTTTCTATTTTGGTAGAAGAGCTTAACATAATAGAGCAGCTAGTAGGTAGATAATCCACTGAGAAGATAGAAGCAAGTATGTTTTCTTATAAGGCAGGTGATATATGTATGTGAGTTTTAAGCTGTCGCCAACTGACTGATTATTCGAAAAACTTTTTCAATATCAAATTAATCCACAGGAGGTCACCTGAATAGAATCGACTTCATTAGAAAGCAACATCTTTAGAATTTCTACACTCAGCGCACTAAAAACCTATCAAGTAACAATGAAAGAACAACTTTATTTGCAGTGTTATTTCCTACAGGGTATATTGTACATTATATTTATGTTATAAGAGTGTTCTAAACTTTAACGTGTGAAAAATGAACAACTAATCATTAAAAGAGGCGACGCCGAGATGTGAACTACTTATGTAGTATATACATATATTGATGTACAGAACAATAGGATTGTGATATTTATTGGAAAGAAAGTGAGAAATTATACGACAACGAGAAATATATGTATGTATAAGTATAAGTGCCTTCAATAATGAGCTAAACATGGAATAAGTGCTTGGAATTATTAATTGTTGATCATTCCGAAGGATTCTAAGAGCTGTTAATATCAGAACTATGCCCAGTAAATAATTTCAAACTATTGAGAGCTAAGGTATTGTAAAAATCCTCTTGAAGAAGTAAAGAGTAAATTTTAAAATTTTAATAAAAAAGGTATGAACATTTATAGATACGTCCCAAAAAAATTAACTCAGGTTCAGAATTTCTTACCAAGTGAAGTTTTCGACCGATTTCGTCTGTTAATTAAGGCTATACATACTCAGAGTAATTAAAAGAGCTTTCTTATAATCCGAGAAATCAATTACAAGGTAAATTAAACAGACGAAATTCAATATACATATGTACATACTATAATGTAGAAACTTATCATTTAAGGACGTAAACAATTACATGGGTATAAGTTTTATGTCGATATATTTATTAATATATATAAGTTAACCAACGCAAATTTAAATAAGCTTAAGGGATTTAGAATATCTGGGATAACCGTGCAATAAGACCATACTTAGAAATGTTTAAAGGCAACTTATTCCCATCATTTGGTACACCGTATCGAATTTGTATTCTTTATGACAACTCTTTTCTCAGTTTAAACATTTAGTTATTATACCCTCGCAACTTGTTGCTACAGAGTATAATAGTTTTGTTTACATAACGGTTGTTTGTATCACCTAAAACTAATCGAGTTAGATATAGGGTTATATATATATTAATGATCAGGATGAAGAGACGAGTTAAAATCCGGGTGACTGTTTGTCCGTCTGTCCGTCCGTCTGTGCGAGCTATAACGTGAGTAAAAATTGAGATATCTTTATGAAACTTGGTACACATATTTCTTAGTACCGTAAGACGGTTGGTATTGCAGATGGGCGTATTCGGACCACTGCCACGCCCACAAAACGCCCTTAATCAAAAACAAAAAAATTGCCATAACTAAGCTCCACAATAAGATACAAGACTGTTATTTGGTATACAGGATCACATTAAGAAGGGGCATCTGCAGTTTGAAATTTTTTTTAAAAGTGACCGTGGTCCCGCCCTCTAATAGATTTAATGTGCAAATCTCCTATACCACTGAAGCTATACTAACAAAATTTACTGGGAACAAATGTTTTATCATGTCTATCGACGGTGTGAAAATCGGTGAAATCGGGTGACAACCACGCCCACTCCCCATATAACGGTACTGTTAAAAACTACTAAAAGCGCGATAAATCAGGCACTAACCACGCCAGAGACATTAAATTTTATCTCTGGGATGGTATGAGATGACTTTATAGGAACCGCGTTCAAAATTAGACAGTGGGCGTGGCACAGCCAACTTTTAGGTGAAAACCCATATCTTGGGATCTGCTTAACCGATTTCAACCAAATTCGGTGCATAACGTTCTTTTCATATTTCTATGTTATAGTGCGAAGAGACGAATGGGCGAAATCGGAGTACAACCACGCCTATTTCCCATATAAAACCATTTTAAATTTCATCTGATTTTTTCACTTTCCAATATGCAAATCAAATATCAATGATTATATTGGGGTAAAACTTTACGAGAATAATACGTTTCAATTATGCCATCTTGTGACCAAAAATTGTCTAAATCGAACCAAACTGTACAAGCTCCTAGGTACTGAAACGGTCAATCCACAAAGAAATCTCAAACGAGTATACCATTTGTCTTTGCGAGAGTATAAAATATTCGGTTACATTCGAACTTAGCTCTTCCTTACTTGTTTTTCGAATAATTTTACAAGTTTCTAGTGTAAAGTTTGGCTATTGATCTACAAAGGCTCTACGGCGGATTTGCAGTTTGTCAACAGCCAGTAATTGCATATATGTATGTATATAAGCTGATTAGATTCAATTTTCAAAATACAATTATTACTCATACCTTAACAATCTTTGAGAAAGTGACATCACACCTGTAGCTCTCTTATCGGGGGAACCCTTTATGAGCTTACTCGGTGCACTTGGCAATTATATTTCTACTTTACTTTTGATAAGATTAATAAATAAATAAAATACACAATCAAGATTAAAGTTATTCTCAAATATTATCTACACCAGTTTTTTATTCGTCTCTTTACTTGTCTTTGCATTAAAATTGTGATTATTTACTGACAACATTTAGTTTACAAAACGACAATGATTTACTACTAATAATTATTAAGCTAACACCTAGCGCAAAGACGCTTCGATCATAACAAAGGCTGTTAGGTTATTCGTTTATTACCAAATCAAGTTCATTGCAAATAAAGTGCTCTCAAGCCATTCTACGTTAATCACTGCAACAATTGTGTTTATTCTTGCTTTACAACAAAAACACCACATGTTCTGCTGTTTTGTGCAAAGGATTAATAGATTGATCGAATGTTTTGCCATTATAGGTAAAGCGTGTATAGGGCACACTGTTGATCACTTTGAAATTCTGCGAACGACCAGCCTTCTGTGAGAATATGGAGGTAAAGATTGCCGTTATAGCTTTGGGACGCATATCGCGTAGTTGGAGATGCATTTCATTAACACCAACGCCCTCGGAGAGCTCGTGTGCCAATTGTATGGTGTACCGCGCTAATTCACATGCGACACCACGACGGCCCCATTCTTGTAATGTTGCTAGGAACATTAACTCCAGGAGCGTGTCAATTTTATAAAGCTCAAATACATCGGTCTCCGAGTCTACATCGATCATAAAGTCCATAAGGCACTGAGCTTGCGGTGATTTTGTGCGCTCTTTGCGGAATTGTATGAAGAAAGGATCCTGACCGCTCGGTGGTATGTACTGTAAAAACGGTAGAGTCGTGAGTACAAACTGTATACTATTTAAGTTTTATTTTTATTTGCCTGTATTTTATTGAATGAAACTCCCACTATCTTTCCACTCTCCACATGCTTGACTACCAATGAGACACCGTCATACGCTGTTAGGCGACATAGTTCGCGAAGTTCGGAACGCGCTTGCGCATTTTCGGGCAGGTTAATTTCACAGGCTATGCAAACGGACTCGTGCAAAAAGAATGACTTGTCTAATATCTAAAAAAAAAGTAAAGAGAAAAACAAAATTATCCATTGACGGTAACACTATTTGGAGTTCCTCTGAACTACATATTTCACGCAACAGAAAAATTAAGGGGTAGATAGGTTTACTTGATAAATTAGATAGTTGTGATTAGGCAAAATTTAGTTATTTGTCTCAGCAAAATCCGGGACGGTTTTAATTTACTGAAAATCGCTACATATAATAGGTGAGAGAGCAGCACAATTTTATTGAATTCATGCTTTTTTTTTTAATTACTAAACCTGGGACGACCGGGAATTTTAGTCTTACATGCATATTATTTCATAAAGTCAACGTCGATATGTGGAAACTTTATTGATCAGTATAATAGATATCTTACTAAACTTACATTAGTATCGTTTAGCTGAACTTATACCTTTCCGTTACTCCAGGTACCGAAATTGCCGATTTCCGTCTATAAAAATGGACCTCTCGAAAAAAAGTTAGATTTATTAATGAACCTAAGAAAGCATGCTACACTAAGTACCGTTATTCAATACAAAAAGGAGGCAATCGACCCACACTTTCGAGTTTTACCGAAGTCTGATTTCCAACGCTACATTTTTGTATAACTTATTTTATATATAATATTTATTTACATTCTTTAACTCATGCGAATATTCCATGTTCGTTGCCGCCAGAATTTATCTCTTTCTTAATTTATTTTTATTTTGTCGGCATATGGCAATTGATAACGTACACGCTTAGCTCTATAAGTATATTACAAGTAGATAAAGCGATGCGATGCGATGTGAAAACAGTTTTAAATCAAAAGTTGTTTACTCAAGTATGCTGATTTGTAAACATCTAAAAAAATTTAAAAACCAACACCGATAAATTACCTCTAAAGCCTCTTCCAAATCAGATTCAGTTAAACTTCTCACTTCGAATTCACCTGAAGTGATAGAAATAAAAATTATTAAAATGAATAAATACTTTTTATTTTTATTAAACACATTCAGTACTTGCCGTTATTAAATTTACCCCATAATCGTCCATTGTTGACTCTCATCTTGTGATACTTCGTATAGTAATATACAGTAATAAAATATTATATTACTTGTATATAATATTACTTCAAAGTCCTGCTAATAGTGATAATAGTAAACGTAATAATAAAGTGCGCAAGTAATAATAATAAAATTTAGGCCGAACTTTCTATTCTAACGCAGAGTTTTTTTAATGTTGTTACAGCCGAGAGGTGAGCGCTATCAGAACGAGGGTAATTTATAACGGAGTCACTTTTTGAATGGTTGTTACAACAAATTCAATACTCTTCATGTGAACTGTAAGCAGTTAATATGTAAGTGTATATGGTTGGACAGAATTTAGAAAGTGGTGAATCGAACAAATAACTGATATAAATTAAATATACTTGCATAATTACATACATACAAGTATATGCAGAAAAGTTTTGCGCCACTTTAAAAGGTATCAAGTATGTACGCTCTAGTATTGAATTTAGACTGATAAGTGTATTGTCGTTTACACATGTGACTTTTTTAAAAAGAGAAGTATGCTTTTCTGCTCTTATATTCAACAAATAAAATAGTCTCAGATCGGTAAAATAACGACACATAAACGTATAAAGTCTGTGTCAATTTTGAGAACTACACTATTCATCTGTACTTTCTTTTCAATTTTTATACCCTGAACAGAGTTATTCAGTTTACCACGAAGTTTGTAGCAACCAGAAGGAAGCGTCAGAGACCCTATATAATACATACATAAATGATCAACATGATAAGCTGAGTTGATCTAGCCATGTCCGTCGGTCTTTTCGTCTGTCTATATATATACAAACTAGCCCCTCAGTTTTTAAACTATCGATCTGATTTAAACTATTGCATCTGTCCCTTTCTCACTAAAAAGCTGCTCATTTGTCGGAACGGCCGGTATCAGATCACTATAGCGTATAGCTGTCATACAAACTGAACAATCGGAATAAAGTACTTGTATGGGAAACTTTTTTATTTGACGCAATATCTTCACGAAATTTGGCATGAATTATTATTTAAGGCAATACTGCAATCTCCGAAGATATTATTCAGATCGGATCACTATATTATATAGCTGTGATACAAATTGAACGATCGGAATCAAGTTCATGTAAGGAACCTTTGTATTTGTGAAGGGTATTATAGCTTCGGTGCAACCGAAGTTAACATTTTTTCTTGTTTTAGTTCTCTTCACTAAATTTTGGTATCCAATAACATAATTGAGCGCAGAGTATATGTCACACATAAGGGACAATATAAATACAGTGATCACATATTTGGACGCCATATTAAAATTTTTCAATTTCTTCAACTATTATTAATTGTATCAGACTTCAATAATTAGCCAACTAGCTTTTTTATTTACCGTTATAGTTATTTATTTAGGAACGATTTTACGATTTAGCAAACAATTTTTGTTAGAAACTGAACTATTTTCAAGTCTATTTTGCTATTTTTGTTTAATACCAGCACCTACACACTTAACTATAACTACTTAACATATAACCGTTGTTACAGTACGACAACGCGCGACTAAAATCTCTGCTTTGAGAGCAAGCGTTGTTCAGCAGCGTTCTTCGAGCGGCAATGCGCTTTATCAATTATGTAATATAATCGTGTATGTAATTGAATAATAGTTAGAATACAATGTATAAACATACACATTTACATATGTATGTATGTGAGAATATGCACTTTCTATCGATTTGCGCACCTGAACATATATAAACAGGTAATTAAATATTCAAAAGCGCACAGTTTTGCTAGTGCAAATTGCATTATTATTTCGCATTAAATCATTATTAGAAATTAGTTGCAAGATAGGGTTTTAAAATTACCGTAAAGCGTTACAATACTAAAAATTATAGAATAATAATATTTACCAACATACTAACATGTGTTTTTATTAAACTTTCACAATCGGAAATTTAGTTCTAAAAAACATGCGTGCACATAATATTTGCATTTTTCTAACATTAATTTTCCGAGGTAACTTTTGCATATACGAGTATAATCAACATATTTAAGTAGTTCCCCGCTTATATATTCATAGTCATAGCATCGAATTGTTTTTATAGGAAATTATAACTATTAATAAATAACATTACACAAGCCATACATTGCCAATTTCCTGCTGGGTGGTTAAGAAAGCTTTTACAGATGACATTCACACGAAATGTCGCGTGTAATCGTAATCACGTGAGTAATTATGAATAGTTTACTTTAATATTTATACTCAATACAACAATAAATAAGTAAAGAAATTCTGTATTATTAGACTATAAAGGAACATGGTTATTTGAAAAGTGATACAACGATTATTAACAAACTTGATTAATGACATGAGGCTGCTCTTTGTATGTTCAAAATACCAACATTAATGAAAATGTATGTGATCTCTAAACTATTTTATGGACCGCATGTCAAAATTAGCTAAAACCAATTGTTCGAACAGAACCAAACACTATAATATATCCACATATTCGGTATCTGGGAGCTGAGAAAGTTTTAGTCCGATTTATACGATTTTTGGAAATAAGGTGGCGCACCTCAAAGGCATTATTCGTGCAAAGTTTTATTTTCATACTTTAATTGGTGCTTGATTTACTGGCAAATGAAAAGATTAGATGGAATTTATTAATATTGTTAAATGGGAAGTAGGCGTGGTTGTAGTCTGATTTCACCCATTTTCGCACTGAGTCATAAGAATGTAAAGATAATATTACATACCAAATATGGTCGATATAGGTCGAGTGGGTCCTGAGGTATAGGGCAGTGCCACGCCCAACGTTCAATTTTGACCCCGGTCCTATTTTACCATCTCGGGTGTAAAATTTTATGTCTCTGAAGCATTTATTTATTTATTTATCGCCATTTTAGTTGTTGTGTCCTAAATAGTTTAGGAGATATGTACATTAAACTTCTAAGAGATTTGAGCCACGCCCATTTTTTAAAACATTGCTTCTGTGATCCCCTGTGCCAAACTACAGTTTTATATCACAATTTAGTGCTTAGTTATAGCGTGGCAGTGATCCGATTACGCCCATCTACGAACTCGTTCTCACTTTTTTACCAAGGAACACGTGTCCCAAGTTTCATTAGGATATCTCAATTTCTACTCAAGTTACAGCTTGCGCAGACAGACGGGCGGACAGACGGACAGGCAATCGGATTTCATCTCGTCTCGTCATCTTGAAAATTTATATATATGTATATAACCCCATATCTACCTCGATTAGTTTTAGGTGATACAAACAACCGTTAGTTGAACAAAACTATTATACACTGTCGCTACATGTTGCAAGAGTATTAACACTCAGGTTTAATGAAATGCCTAGTTAAGTGCCAACTTGCAAAAGAAACAATGTATCATCCAAGGCGCTTAGCGTGTGAGCAGAGAATCGAAACTCAAAATAAAGAATTTTTATGAAAAACTTTCTCATAAATAAAATATTCGTATTGCCTGTTTAAAACCATAAGCATTCGATATCAGTTTATTTCTTACGGTTATATTAAAAAAATAAATAATGAAAACAGTGTACGAAAAATGTATTGACGAAAATTCTGTTCATTTATTTGGAAATCAAAAATTTGCATGAATCTTTCTCTTCGTCATCTCATCTCTAAAAGCTGTTCGAAGTACCATACTCTCCCTATAATTCCAGAATGAAAATACTACAAACTCTGAGTATTGATGATACGGACCATGAAGATCGTTAAACATTTAACTTGTGCACTTTTTATATGCTCATTGCGGAAGTTGATAAAGAAAGGGTTCTCTCCAGCTTTTTTTTATAAACAGTTGCGTGCAACTAATTAACAACGATATTACATCAAGCAACAGTAGCTTCATTTTCATACCCTGGATAGGGTATATTAAGTTTGCCACGAAGTTTATAAGTTAAAAAATAAAAAAAAGCCTAACATAAAATAAGTATCCTAATTTGCGAAAGAAGTGAAAACTATACATATGTACCTACGCTGTTAATTACGCTTTAATCACATTTGCATTAAAAATTGAACTTCTCCAGAATAGCGGATTTAATATACGAATATTGCGTAGCTTTCGCGAGCCATACATTAATGTGATAGAAACTAATAAAACCAACTTTTATTCGTTCAGTATTTTACGCACAGGTGCAAAATATTTACGGTGGTATGTCGTTATTAATTAGTTGCACGCAACTGTATATACATAAGTACATAGCTGCATAGTAGGGTTGTACTTATATGTTAAAACGAACCACCTTCTAAGATATACATAGCTTATAGTACTGCATCGAACCGTATCGCTAAACCGTCTGGAAAAGTGTTAAATGTTGAACCCATCTGATCTCTTAAATTAGATCCCCCAACCCAATTTATTAATTTAGACCCAATTTTTATAATCTCGTTTCGCTTTTCTGATACCGATATTTAAATTGCGGTTATTGGTGGCGAATGTTATTCTGAGATGAATATCTCAGCAGACCTCTTTATCACCTCTAATGACAAAAAAATGACAAATATATTATATTATATTATATTTTCACAACAAAGAGTATCAATCAATTGATAAGAAAAATTAAAAACTTGCCCTATTAGCAAACTCGAACTGATAATGATCGTAGAGAGTGTCTTATGCGTATTCCTGGTGTCAAATTTGATAATTTTTGTGTGTTTCTAATTAGTGGCTGTTATTGGTCCTCGTTATTACCTAACCTACAAACAGTTGCAAGTTAATTATGTGTACGAGTATTAAGGAATTTTGGAAGTGATCAAATAAGAATCTAAATTTTGTAAATTAAAGAAATAGTCCGGTCAAATTAGACAAAAAATAAAAGTTACATTAACTTATAACAAGCTAAGAGTTAATGAATATGTTCAAAACATGATTAAAAATAACATACTGAAACTCCTCATCGCTTCGATATATGGAAAAAAAATTGAGCTTAAAGGTCAAACAATTTTTTCGCGATATGTTATGAAACGGTAAGTTGTAGCAAAAAATCACTTTGCACGAAAATGGTAGATCATAAATTAATTATAAAAAATGTATGAATACTTTTTACAAAAAGTCACCGTTTCTGAGTAATAACCGCTGAAAATATATAGAGGGTCGATCATAAACACAAACTTAGTAAATGAATCAATGTAACTGCTGAGTCTTTAGTCGGTGTAGCATCAAGGAGTGTTTTCAGGTGTTTCAATGTGTTTAAATCAAGCAAATTTAAGTCGGCATATAAAAAGCACCTTTGCGTTTAAGTGAACAGCTGCTTTATACTATATAATTTATATCTGGACATTTAAAATTAATTTTTGTTGTAAGCCACTTATTTTCTCAATTATAACGTTTGGCAACGCCACCATCTTCAAGCTGATTTTGACATTCGAATGTCTTTATTTACATTTGCACTGTATACAAAAATAAATCGCAATCACCTCATAAATTCGCATAGGAATTGTCAGGGAAATAAAAGTATAAGCTAAAGCTACGAGCGCATAGGAATATTTATAAATTTACATACGTGGCGCAGTGTAATTACACCACAAGAAGGACAAAGCAGTCAGCGCGACGGTCTAGGATATAAGTAATCGCTAGTTCAATAGCTAAGTTTCCATGACAGCGTAACCATAACACTGCCGCAATATTGCTAATTGTTTATTTTTTAAAAGAACGACAAGCAAATTCACAAGTAGATACACAACACCAACGCTTACGGCATAAAAATGTTTTTGTTTGACTGGTTGCTGCAACGTATTTTGCCTGTGATCTTCTTTCATCTAAGACCGTTCATTAAATGGTTTTTGCACACATTCACAAGGTTATGCGAGCTTCAACGCATTGTATATGGTGCACAAGCAGGTGCAAGTCGAACTCGTCAAGTCGAACGTTCATTAATGCTATCACAAAATGTCGATATACAAGAGTTATTGTGCGAATTAGACACTGCGGTAGAGACATGTAGTGATGATGAACTCCGCCAATTGCCTGTACGCGCTGTTAGTGTGGTGCAACGCGTTAAGCGTATTAAATCGAAAATTCATCCTGACTTTGCGCCACTATTTGGCACTTGCATACTGCACATATGGAGTTATCGACATCTGCTGCATCAGGTAGAGCAGTTACGTGCAGAGCCATACGATGCAAATAACTTGGATCACGAACAAAAGTTGTTAGAGTTGTGGAACCGCTTGATGCCAGAAGAGCCATTGCAAGGACGCATCACAAAGCAATGGCAGGACATCGGCTTTCAAGTATGTAAATATCTATTTTAACTGAACTGAAAATGCAATAAAATGTACATATGTTTACAATCATAGGGTGATGATCCTAAAACAGACTTCCGCGGTATGGGTGTACTTGGTTTGGAAAATCTTCTCTTCTTCTCGCGTGAATATCGTGACGCAGCACATCATGTCCTGTTACATTCAAAGCATTCTGTATATGGTTATACATTCGCCATAGTGGGTATTAATCTCACCGCGATGGCATATCGCTTGCTCAAGTCTGGCGATGCTAAAGTACATTTCTATAATGTGGCAAATTCACTTAATCAGGCCTGCTCGCTGATACATTTTCATAAATTCTACTGCTATTTACTTTTCGAATTCGACCGTTTCTGGTTAGAATCGGAACCAACGAATATAATGGATTTCCGTGAGATCTATCAACGGTTTGAAATATTAATAATGGAAGCTTTGCATAATGACAAAACACTATTTAAAACTAATCTCGTGGTGGAGGATGTTTAAGAACTGAGACAGTGACGTTTTAGCTAACAATTATATAAAATCTACATAAAATGTACAATCCTCAAAGAATGCATATAATAATAAGTAATCTTATAGCACTATTAATAAAATGTAATTGAATAAATGTAATATAATATAATGCAGTTTTGCATTCTAGTGATTTTTTTTCGGAATACTATTTTATACTTTACGTCAGAAACGCATTAGTTTTTTACTTTCTATTGATTATCAAAAAAATAATTAACAAATTGTTAAAAAAAACTTATAATATTTTTGAGAACAATGATATTAATATATTTTAAAATGTTTTTTAACGAGTCTGCAAGTGCCAACGAATTCGGTTTTGAATACTAAATTGTGTTCCAACAAATAAGTCGACAAATTTTTTTTTTGCTTTTTAGCTTTATTTCAATTGCAATCGTTATTGTTCACCATATTAGTGCGGAGCGCAGCGATAAATAAATCTAAATATTTGTATGAGCTTCATTGTTTTATCGATTTATGTGTATAAAGTTTTTTTTTTATTCATAATCGTAATCATGCAATTATGTGTTTATGTGTGTATGCGTATAAATATATGTATGTGTGTAAATGCATATGGAATATAAATAACGCGTTACTATAAATGTAATGTTTACCGTTACACAAAATTTTTCCTTCAAAGATAATTGAATGAATGAGCTTAATCATAGCATGCATTACAATTTTTATATATTCTCGCTATCCTTCATCAAAACAGTTACGCAGCAAGCTTATCGTGCGGAGTGTTAGGTGAGTCGTTACTCTTATAAATACACATTTATATGAAAAAATGGAAAAATACTTATCAATTGAATGTATGCAAACATTTTTGTGCTTTCTGGATACAAATCACAAAACTGAAAGCAATTCAAATTATATGCAATAAAACTAGAATTTTAACATAAGAAGTCGCGGCTTTTACAATATTGTTCTTAACAGACTTGATCTTAAACATAGTCAGAGAAATCGTTAATATTTACCTTATAACATAAATAATATACTTATATATAAGTGTATAATAGTCATGGAAAAATCACAAATTTCGTCTTAAAATTATGAATACGAACAAATTACAAACACGTAAAATGCAAATAAGTTAAATTCGTATAAAAAGTAAAAACAAAAATATCACTTAAGAAATGCATATTCAGCGTTAAACAGAAAACCCGTTATTCCAAAGGCTAGTAAATGTCTACAGCTTATAATTTACGAAATACTATAAACGTTTATGTTTTTCCTGTTTTCCGAGAAATTCCAACGTTTAACGATAAAACTTCACTTCAGCTTCCACACAGTCTTTCATTAGTTCATCCAACTCCTCGTCAGCAGTTGGATGTTCCGCTAAATACGTGTTTAACTCTTCAACACAAGCAACCTCTAGAGCTTTCAAATCATCAACAGCATTTGGTTTGCGCTGAGCATGAAGCTTATGCAAGAGTGTGTGTGTGTTATCAGGTGGCACTTTGGTGAGTGGTGAAATTTTGGGATTAGGTGCAAAGACGAATGGTTTAAAGACTGATTCACTAGCATTAGGTGTGGCCGTAAACCAATGACATGAAATTCCAGTTGTAAGCACAGAGACGCTGGCCGAACGTGACGTTGCGCTATCAGCCGCCGAACGTAGAGTATCAAACATGCTAGTCAAAGTGTAGCTACCGTCTCCGTTGGGTACTTCGCCGCTCCATTCAACATCTGCAGTTTCAGCTGCATCAAAACAGCTGGCGAAATTTAAATCGCCCTACAAATGGCATGGACAACAATAAATAAATGGAATAAAAATTAAAAATATTTTTTAAAAACTTATTTACCTCGCCATTCCAGAGCCCAAGCGTTTGGAGAGCATCACCTAAATCGTCAGTTGATTTGTCAATTGTCGTCTTTACGCTGAGGCCTTTACTTGTTATACGGAGGAATCCATCAGCAACCTGATGTGCAGCCCATAACTTAGCACCGCTGCTCACTAACCACACTTGCTTAGTATCACAGACCACAAAACTAAATTTTGCAGAGTCTGACCCGTGGTTAGCTATCAAATTACCAATGCGTTCCACTGCGTCAACAGCGTTTTTAGCGATAGCTAAAGTCAAACTACAAATTTGTGTTGAAATACAAGAAAATACTTATATATTATATATCATGAAAAAAATAACTCACCGCACAATATCAGTTGATGTAAGACTATCACTATCGTTAGCTGGTTCCTCCGCTGACCAGGAAACAGCAATGCACACATTATGGTCGTTAGCACCCACGTCACCACCCCAAATGCCTGTACGAGTCTTTTGCAATATCATACGCAATATTTCACCATTCGCTTTAACCACATCGGCACCACCATCGGGCTAAGCAAATCGAAGGACGTGAAAAATTAAAATGCCACGTCATAGTATAGTGATCAAATTCACCAAAGATTACTCATCTAAGCAATCTTCAGTTAGATACAGACGGTAGACAATATCCGCTTACCTTCCCCTCAAGTGCGACATTGGCGTTGTAGTATTGAACTTCTTGTGCTTCTGTTACAGCATCTGCGTCCAAAGCATTTCGGCCAAAAATTATAGTATTTTCAGCTGTATTTGGAGATTTTACGATAAAACAATCACCAGTTGCAGACATATCGAAAATTTTACACAATTCCAAAGGCAAAGCTATGTATCAACTTTCAATTGATTTTTCGCACTGACTCTTCTTGCCAAATATTACTTCGATTTCAATTACAGATGTTATGAAATCTTTGAAAAAGTATGGCACACAAACGAAGATTTGCCAATTTATAATTATAGCAACAGATTTTCCAAATTTTATTGCAAATCTTAATATATTGCAATAATTTTGGCAATTTAGAAAATTTTTCAATGGTGAGCAAATACCGGCCACGGGTGGAATGTGAAAGCGAAGAGATATCGTGTTACCAGCTGCGTTTAAGAAATATAAACAAAGAAAATACCAGAAAATGTTTTTGTTAAATAGCTCTGTAAAGCGTGGCAGCACTTGTTCAGTTGTCTTGTCCTCTTTCATTATGACGGAAAAGATGGTGTAGTGACCGCGTAAAACATTATATTTCGCTAAAAATCTGCACTTTAGGTGTAGAAAAAAGAGTTCAGCGTAAAATTTATGTGCTACGTTAGTCAAGTTTTATCAAAAGTGTAAAGATTTTCAACATTTTGCTTCTAATACACCATCCAAAATTTTTGTGCATTTGCGACGAATCTATCAACGAGGTGTGTTCAGTGTTGGCGCGTGTAAAATTTTTCTGCGGTAAAGGCCGTGTCAACCACGAACATTATTGCCATCCCTTTTGCTCATTTCACTAGTCCAATCGGAAAATGTATGGTGGGAAGAGCGTACAAGGTGGATTATTTTAGCGGATAATGGCTAAAGGCAAAAAGATAAATGTTTGAGAAGGGGAAATCGAAGTGAGTGTAAGTAAATACTGAGATGGTAATGTAGTTTTTGTTTTTGTGAGCATTTCTAGTCACTACTCTTGGGCTATCTTCTCGCATTCGTTTTGTGGTATTCGTCCGTCATGTATTTGATTGGTTTTAGCTGCATATTTCTTCATTGAAAAATTTGGTTCAAAGCAAAAAAAAACAATTATATGAAGTTTTTGTCAATAAATAACGCAAAATTATATATTATACAATGTCTGTGGTTCATAAAATGCGTTTATATCTAATGTGTACGAGTGGAGAAAGACATAAATTGACTTGTATCAAAATGCAGTGAAGAGCAGAAAATCAATATTATCGCTCAAATATAATAGAAAATTTTACTGCATAGTTCTCGTTAGCCAAAGGGCGCAGCTCTTGCAAGAATATCAAAATACTTTCGGTTGTGATATTGAAAACTTAAAATGACGTAAATTGAGAAAAAATGTGGTGCAATATTTAGAAGATATTTGTGTTCAACAAGAATAATAGCAAATTTGTAAGTACAATTGAAACACAGAGCGCCAATGCAACCAGTTATTTCGGTGCTTTGTTAGGCTTTAATGGCTTTCGATGCATGTTAGCTCTTGCGTGGCCGGTACATAGCTTGCATGGCCTAAATAGAAACGTGTTCACCTGCTAAAATAGTTTAAACACAAAATTACAGATCTTATGAATTTTAAGTAATTTTGAAATTTGTGTACATTTAATATTTTAAGAAAAATCAATAGTTCTACTCATTAAAATTCGTACTCAATTCGGATTTGTATGTGTACATACTCGTACATGTATATTTTGTGTATACTTTGACAGAAAATATGTACTTAACTTTATTTGACAACGAAAAAGTTTGTACGTGCGTACAACATTTGGATACCTCTCTTCCCGTAGTCTACAACTTCACATACATTCATCCCGATAAACTGGATCCCTGCTTTAAATATGGAACACTCCCACCTTCAAACCTTTAAAACCACCCTCAGTGGCACCAATTTATGGTAGTACGTTCAATGTTTAGAAAAATTTCGTGTTTTCGGCTTATATATTTTGTGTTCCTTGCGGTGTTCCAACTTCATATAGTGTATTTAAAAAGTAGAGGAATACATACTTGCGTAACATTAAATAATGAACTTTATTAGAATATATTTTTGTGATGGAGTTCATATAGGGTATATCTATTTTATTTATATCATAAAACTGTTGTCCCATTTGACACTTATGGTATATTTATTTATATCGTTTTTAATTGTTTAAGTATATTACAATTTTGTTGCAAGAAATATTTTGCTGTTGCTTTACCAAGTGTATTGAAATGTTAACATGTAACTACTGGGTGGAGGATACATACATATGTTTGTAAACATGCCCACGCATGTATTTACTACCACCCTGTCACACACTACAAACAACCCAGATTTATGACCTAAATTCCTCAATTCCCTCGCCCATATGCCATTTGCCACCCACTATTTTATATGTGTTACATACATATGTGTATTTAAATGTTGATGCTTCAATTGCACGATTTTATCTCTCCTAACGGCATTTTTCTCTTGCGAAAATAAGGTAGTTGTTTTGATTTCTATTTTTGATAATGTGAAAATATGTAGTTTCGTATATAAGGTAAATTGTTTAAAGCTTGAAGAGAGTTTCTTTTGATATGCCTACATACATACATGTATATATATATGTACATGCCAAATGATTTTTATGAAAATACTTAACAATACTCTCCGAATTTCCATTGCATATTATTGATGTTTGTCCGAGCTCGTCGTGATTTGTGATATTTTTATTCCCCATCTAATAATCCATAAACTGTAAAAGTCGAAAGACACGCTTTCAACGTTAGTAAATAATATGTATGTGTATGTATGTAATGTATGTATTTCTATATAGCAGAATTTTTGTTATATACAAACTATATTTCGACACCAAAATTGATGAATGAAAAGATAATGAGCGCTGTCCCATTTTATAGCGCATCAATTCTAAATAAAAAGATTTGAGAAATAATCATATTTAATTTTTTTTCATGAATTTTTGGCTGTGAAAAATTCTCTTCATGATATTCCGAAAAGATCGTTCAACTTTTCTTCTACACAAATTCTTTGACTATTACATGTGTTTGCTGTTGTTGTTGATAATTTTGGGAGTATGCACTATTATTTTGTTGTTTCTTTTTAAAGTTTTTCACTTTTTTACGTTTATACAAGCAATCGAAACGTCATTTATTCAACTAGTTACCATATCTTCTGACTTTTTTGTTGTGGTTGTAGCGGCAGAAAACATGTCTGAACCTACATAAATTAAAAGTAGTGTAAGTGGATTTAATTTTTGTTTCCAACTATGTAACAGCTTTATAAAATTGGCGACAAATAATTCCGGTTATAGGAAAGAAAATTATTTGTATTGATCATAACAATATGTGTTTGTAATCACGGATTTTTTCGCTTATTTAATATACCATATCAAAATTTTATAGCTATTTTACAACCACTTTACAATCGTATTCAGCATTATTTATAGAACTTGTTGCTTATACTGCCTTAGTGGCTGTCGGCCCAATTCACCTTGACATTGATATTGCGAATTCATCCGCTTCGTCGCCAATACAATCGCCAGCTGTTTCTCCCGCCAACGCATTGTTGCTCACATTCGCAGAATTTTGCGGATTGTTTGCTTTTGTTATTGTGAACATTCAAGTGAATGAAAATATATAAATAAATATACTGAAACTGGTCGTGTATGCATTTTACAATAACGACCAAAATCAAAACAAACTATGAACACAATACTTATCTTAATGTTGTTGTTTTAAATAATATATTTTGAAGTCAGTGCAAACGATAAACTGTGAAGTTGTATTTTTGGTGAAGTTATAAAATTTTGTTGACAATGTTATCAAAGAAAAAAGATAAAACATTAACTTGGGCTGCACCGAAGATAAATACGCTTCAGAAATAAAAAAGTTTCAATACAAGAACTTGATTTGTTTATATGGCACCTACATGCATACATATTGTATATGCTATATGATCCAATCTGAACAATTTCTCGGAGATTGAATTGTTACCATGCCAATATGCTATAGTAGTCCGATCTCACGGTTCCGACATATTGTCGTCTTCTTGGAAAGAAAAAGATGTGTGAAAAATATCAGCACGATATCCCAAAAATTGTGGAACTAGTTCGCGTATATACTGACATACGGATATGGCTAGAGGGACTCAGCACATCATGCTGATCATTTACATATACATATGTTTAATCGAGTTTCCGACACCTTTCTAAGTGTTATAAACTTCTTGGCAAACTTAATATATCCTGTGCAGGGTATAATTGATAACAATAATTAACACCGAACAGTCTTGATGTCGCTACTTTCCATTAAGCGTTGTGTATATAAAATTTGTAACTAAAGATAATGTAACATTAAGTGATACAATTTAAATATTTTCCCTCTAAGATGTCTAATAAAAGTATATATTTTTCCCTTTTCAGTGCTAGTGAAGTCGGTTACCGTTGCATTGTCGCTTAAATGTATCGCTGAAAATTTCCAGTGAAGAGGCAGTTCCTCGGAGAAGTGCCAAAACTGTTCAACAAACGATATATTTATTTTTAAAATTTACAATAAATTTTTAACTGTTATGAGGTACACAGGTTAACCCACAATAATTGATTTGTCATCATTGTTGCGGTGAAGTACGGGTGAGCGCTTGCATAAATCGTAACTAACCAGTATGAAGGAGATGGTCGGCGGATGTTGTGTTTGTTCGGATGAGCGTGGATGGCCCGAAAATCCGCTCGTCTATTGTGATGGTCAAAATTGTACTGTTGCCGTGCATCAAGCTTGTTATGGTATTGTAACTGTCCCAACAGGACCTTGGTATTGTCGCAAATGCGAATCTCAAGAACGCTCAGCTCGTGTGCGCTGTGAATTATGTCCATCACGTGATGGTGCACTTAAGAAAACCGATAATCAAGGATGGGCCCATGTGGTATGTGCCCTATATATACCGGAAGTTCGTTTCGGTAATGTCACCACAATGGAACCAATTATTTTGCAGTTGATTCCACAGGAGCGTTATGCAAAAAGTAAGTTCTAATTATATTATGGGAACAAAAAAAAATTAATAATATATAACTATTTCTATTTATCACTGCAGCTTGTTATATTTGCCAGGAGTCGGGCAAACCAAATCGCGCCACTGTCGGTGCTTGCATGCAGTGCAATAAATCTAATTGCAAACAGCAATTTCATGTAACATGCGCACAAAGCTTAGGCTTATTGTGCGAGGAGGCTGGAAACTACTTGGACAATGTCAAATATTGTGGATATTGCCAACACCATTATGGAAAATTGGTTAGCTGATTGCTCAAATTTTTTTTAAAAGAATTTTCAAGTAAATACTATTTATTTCATCATACAGAAGAAGGGTGGCAATGTTAAGACCATACCGCCCTATAAACCCATTACACACGATACGTCGTCTGACTCGAGTTTGTCACCCGAAAAGGAGCTCGATTCCGGCATGAATGCGACTGCCTCATCAACTTCGGCGACAAGCATCAAAATTACCACCAATATAAATGCTGCATCTACCACCAAACAGCGTAAATCATCCACCGCTTCAAAGCAATCAAACTCATCATCCTCGTCATCTAGTGCTGCCGCAGCTGCTACCTCCTCAAGCGGGTTTGCTAACAGCTTACACGGCAACAATTTCTCAAATTCCAGCACTGGTTCTGGTAATATAAATCTAGCGGGTATTGGTGTTGGCTCAAATAGTTCTAATAACAGTGGCAACTTATCGGCTAACAACTCGTCAATTGGTAGTGGCAATGCAATGGGTGGCGGTGCGGGCACAAATACCGCATCTAATCTGAAAAATTCTTCGAACAGTTCAAGCAGCTATAAAGAAAAGGATAAACATAGTAAAAATATGAATAAAACATCAAGTTCAAGCAAAGATAAAGATGGCTCATCATCATCGTCATCATCACGAGATTCCCGTGACAAATCTTCAAAATCATCTAAAAACAAAGAGTTCTCCAATAATAATCCAATGAGTGGCGCATCCATGACCGGTATAAGTGCCACATCAGCTGGTACAGCGCTTAATATGACCAGTTCCATGCATGATAGCCACAGTCATGGTAGCAACCTGTCCACTCAAAGTTCTGCACAAAATCTTACAACTACTTCGACAGCCTTGAGCATGAACGCTAGTGGCAATTCAAATAGTAGCAACAGTGGCAGCAAAGAAGCAGCCAAGTCGTCTGGTACTTCGAACACAGTGGGAAACAGTGGTTTTGGTGGCAATAACAATACGGCAGATCCACATGCCAGCACCACTGATAGCAGTAACTTTGGCGGCACGCATATGGATACTTCTACAAGTGTAGGTGGCATGAACGCGAATTCTGCAAGTGGTGGTGGTGGTATGACAAGTGCTAGTGGCAAAAGCTCAGGTAGTTCGGTAGCGAAGAAGCGAAAAGCCGATTCAAAATCAAATAATAGCCTTGGAGACGACATAAATAGGTGCGTAATAACAGTGTTAGGGAAAATGCACATTTTTCATACAAATTTGTGGTTCTTCATTTCAGCCCTTTTAGAGATATGATTAAAGACGTCAGTGTCACGTTAACGCCATTAACGGATTTTGAAAAGGAAATCGAGAAGAGTGCGAAGAAGGTAAGCCTAAATTAATTACAGTTAACAGTTCTATAAAATCGTTAATTTAAAAAATATGAATTTATTGAGATTCTGAAATTTAAAAAATCGGTTTTGACATTGGTTGCGAAAAAGGGTTTTTATTTAAGTTTTTTTCAAAGAATAAAAAAGTATAAAATTAATTTCAAAATAAATGGTTGATCGTTGGTATTGAACCACTCTTTTCCACCTAAGTTTTTGGTCTTAAAATCGTTCATTACATTAAGACCAGAAGGTTTTCGGGAATTTTTTTTTTTTTATTCGCGGTTTGGTTCATCATGAATTCGTGCATATTTACAATATATAATTCACCTTTATAACTTCTCTTATTGAAATTCGATTCGATTGAACATTAAATTGAATTTTAATTTTAAAACTGACACACTCTCAATAATTTCCGGTTATGCTTGCAGTAAAGCAACAGTAAAGTATATAAATATTTATATTTACTTTTTCATATTAAAATTCATATAGTACAATTTAATTCAATAAGTTCTAAACTCTTACATTTAATTTCTTTAGTTATTTATATACAGTTATTATATATATAAAACAGAAAAATGAAATTCTTTAAAAGCGTTCATGCGCCATTTGTATAAGAATTAGGAAGTTAAATTCATAGAAAAAAGTTACGGTTAGACTCGCCTCACCTTCCACGGAAAATATTTTATGTAAACATTAGCTCAACAATTTTATAAAACTAAGTATGATAAATAATTATATTGGTTAGGAACACCTAGGTGCAACCTGAACACATCTTTATTCAAATGTAATATTTTTATTTGTTGCGTTTTCTTTTTTCATATGATTGGGTTGCCAAAGTTGCGTGTTCTTTTCTCCACATTTTTTCAGTTTCGTATGTTCTCTCACAGAATGTGCCTTCTAGCCAGAAAGAAGTGCAACATTTTCTATCTTTCTCAAGAAGTTGAGAGTTGCTCTGGCGATGTCGTTTTGGTTTTTGATAGTTATTTTTTAAATAAAATCTTTTTACTAATAAGGAAGTGTCAGTTGCGTTAAGCTCAATAATGGAAATTGCGAATAAGTTGGTTGGCATTTTTTTTATTCTTGTGTCATGTAGAAAATGGAAAATTTTTACAAGGAGTAATGTAGCATTTCATACGGCGCACAGGAGCTTCCAAAAAGAATTTAATTAAATCCTCAATGGAAATACATTAACATATAGTTTAGAGTTAGAGTAGCAATATATTTGCGAAGTTCCAAGTTGATATCGTTCCTACACTGCGTACACAACGGCAAAGTCGATACTACTTAGTTTTAAAATTGTTGGCAACTATTTTCTTAAAATATCAACTTGTAGTTTCAATTTCCTGAAAACTTTAATTTTTTTATGTATTGTACTTTGAAATGTAAAAAAAAAACCGAAAATGTAAAAAACCCATTACCATTTCAGCGCACCATTCACAATGATGTACAATTTTGTGGATCCAGTCTCACGATTACAAAATTGATAATATCTATTAAATCAGCTGTCTTCGAGACTTCGGGAGAGTAGCGAATCGAACAAATTATACCGGTTGTTTAAACAAATGGGCAGCACTTGCGGTTGTTGTAGTAGTTGCGGCAGAAAACATTCCTGAAGTAATTTCGAGGAATGGTGCCGAGTTGACAGTACTTGGCCAGATAAAAGTCCGGGTCCGTGCCGGTTACTTAGACCCGAATGTCGAGAGAACACTTGTGCAACCCTGCGCTTACATGTAGTAGAGATATTATTTTTTTCTAGTGACAAAACGTTTAAGTAACTCCTATGTTTCGTTTTCTATATACAGTATTCGTAAATGGTAATCTGAATTCAACTCGATAACTTTGGTTTTGCTTTTGCATGTAAATTTTTTGACAAGAGAGCAGCGCGCAGAGAAATTGTGAATCATAGACTTTTTTTTCAGCAGACACTCGCAATACCTTTTATTATATGTATATTAATAAAAATGAATATTATGGCGAATATATTAACCAATTTGATACTTAAATTGCCAATTTTTACTCGATATTTGTGCGATTTGTCTAACAATAAAATTAAATGAAACTCATAAATTACAAGTGTACGTTAAAAATTATTTCTTAGTTTTATAAAAAGTCCGTGCCAGTCTATAATATCTCCCACGACTGAGAAGTTGTTAGCTTTAAACTCTGCAAACTCCCAAATTAACCTGCTCTGAAGGGGTTCTACAATTCCCATGACGCTTGCTGTCTACACAACCACAAATAGGCTATTAAATTTCCTGCGTGCTGCCCTGTGTTTATCCTTTATATGTTTTTTTTTTTAATAAATGTACTCCTTTTTCAAATGATTGCTCCTCTAATATTGGACAAACCATAAACGAAATTGCTATAATAAAATAAATGTAGCACGACTGTCAGGAGCAACAAATTGTAAAACATTTCCTCTTTTAAGCGACACACTTTTATTCGCCACATGTGTGTACGTTTGGTATATACTATTATACTATACCATGTAGGAATGGGACACGTAATAAATTACCACCCATCGATTTTCCATTACAGCGTGCAATAATTTCTTATAAATTTTTTTTATTTTTGCAATACTTCCGGGTTGAAGTAAACCCAAATAAGTTCACAGCCAGTGGTGTGCGGTAAATACGCGTTACATACATACAAAAACTCGCGCAAATGTATATTTATTGTTTTACGGGCGAGCAACAGTCGCGTGCAAGTTACATTAGCACCCACCCCCTTCGACGTAATTTTAGATTTTTTTTCTATTTTTTTTGCTTTTCTGCTTTGGATTTCGCTTTATTTTTACGCATAGCAACTTGTGCGTTGCGTTTTCGCTGCAACTTGCCGACTTTATTTGTGAACATTTCTCTTTATGCGTTTACTTTCATTACTACTGTGTGGCTGTGTATACGACTGATGAATTGAAAAATTAATTCAATCGAAAAAAATTACCTTCACGCGCTTCTGAAAAAGGGTGCGTTTTTAAAAATATTTGCTTTCTAATACTCTATATTGGGGTGTTTGAAAATTATTCAAGTGTGTTTTCGTTTTTGTGTTGAACAATGGCGTAGTGAGTCGTGCATCTTTTGTTCTAACAGCACAGGCGTCAATAACAGCACGGCCTTTTCAAGTTAATGACTCTCGAACACTGCAGATTGGGTCTAATGTTTGCATAAGCTTAGTAGTCATACGCCCTCCATTAGTCAATAATTCTATAATATTTGAACTATTAATGAATGGAAGCAAGAATTTGCCTTATGCGAATACTGTTTTTAATTAATTAGGCTTACTTTATTTATTATTGTAAAGTCAAATGTTAAATAAATAGTTAAATATTATAAATTTTCGGTAAAAAATATAAAAAACAGGCGTCGAATCCAAAACCAGAAAGTTTCCGGAAAATCAAATAAAACGAAAAATGTTGAATCTTCATCAATATTTATTTTTTCGCCTTCAAAATATGCTCGTTTTAAAGCAATACACATATGCCACCTCTTTTTCAAATCATCGAAGCATGCCTTGTAGGTCTGGGTCCGGGATCGCCTTCAGTTGCTTCTACGAATTTTTTTTACGGCCTCAATCGAGTCGAAACGTGTTCCACGGAGTGATAACTTGAGTTTTGGAAACAAAAAAAAGTCGCATGTGGCCAAATACGGTGGTTGATCGCTGGTATTGAACGAGTTTTTGGTCTTTAAATCCTTCATTACATTAAGACCAGAAAGTTTCCGGGAATTTTTGATTTTTATATTCGCGGTTTGGTTCATCATGAATTCGTGCCAACGGGATAGACGGCCAATAAAGAGTATTATTTCAGCGTCTTTAGGCGTTTGCGCGAAAACATCCGCCGTAAACGGCCGGTATTGTAAGCCAACAATTTCCGGAAACTTTTTGGTCTCAATGTTTAGTAACAATAAAAAAGTTTCCCAACGTTAATGATGAAAATGTTGCTTTTTATTAATTTCTTTAATATTTTCCGCTTCTGCTTTAAATTTTGCAGAATTTTTTGCCTTTTCAACGTTTAAATTCGTTTGACTGCTAAAAATAATGCTAACCGCGCTTGCAGACTTACCTTCGCAGGTTAATTCGATATTTTTGTTAAACATGTGGTAAAGTAATTCTACTTTTGTGCCACATACTTTACCCGGCTCTTGTTCTACTACCTACCTGCAGCTTCCAACGTTTTTCACAACTACTGAAGGTCACTTGCAATTGTCCGCTCTTCGGCTCTCAATCGCGTGTTAATTGCTTTTCTCTGAATGATCCGTTGCAAAATGCGATTTTCACAAGCCGCTAGCACAGCATTACGCCGGAGTTCCTAAAATTATGTTGTTGCTATTATTAGAATGGCTTTAGTTGAAAGTGACGTGTAGCCAATTGCTGGAAGGGAGTCAGAAGCCCATCGAAAGACACAAATTCCCTTTAGTGGCAATAAAGGTCAAACTGCAGCATCGTTGGAAGTCTTTGTTGACAGCACCCGCTGACTACTATGCGGAAAGTGCTTTATGTTGTTGCTTTGTTGCTATCTTAGTTGTTGTCACGTGTTAGCCCTGAACAACGTTTTATCTCACTTCCTTTATTTTAGCCACTTTTCGCATACCTAATCTGTATTTTATTACTTTCCAAAAACAAAATTTTTTTTTTTTGTTATTTTATTCATGTTCTTTTTTACGTATAACTACGTCGTTGTCAACGCTGACGGTGGCATGGTGAGCATTCCTTGTGGCGTAACGACCGCACGCTTGCAGTTTTGGCACTTTGTTTGTAACGAATCGCCAATTTAACATAGCTGTTAAAAGCAAAACTAATGGCAAATATAACGTATCAATGCGCTTCGAAAATCATTCTAAGTGACTCGGCTAAATAGCTAAGCGTGTCGAATCTGGTTATACTTATTATACTTATATTGCTAATCTCATCGTTTTGATGCTTCTCTTCAAGTGACTTGCTTTCCCTTTAGTGGTCGTTGAATTGTGAGGTTAGGGTGTAGCCAGTTTAAGGTAGTAATT